ATACTTGAATATGACCGGATTTACGTAAGTTGGTAAATAAATTATATTTTTAATATGGTGATGTTACCCCCAACACTTGCAAATAAAGAAGTTATGATCAATTTTGCAATCAACAACAGGCATATATGACCTTTATTTAACTTTTATTTTTGTTTCATATGTGCAGTTTTTCTAGTTTGAAAAAAAGACATTATAATTATTAAAAAAAATAACTGACATGTATCCTTTAATAAATGAGTTTTCGAAAAATAGAAACTCGTATTATTATTTTCATGGGTGAGATCATCTCCTAAATTATTTGCACCTTATTTGGACCACCCTGTATATATGTACCGAATGTCCCGTAAAAGAGGCTGCAAGCCATTACCTTGATATTTTTGGTCCAATAAAAAAAATAGATGATTGGCATTGATAGCTCAAATCTACAAACTGACATTTATTATTTATCATAATTTTTTAAATAGGACCATATCATTTAATCTATTTTTTTTCTGAATTCAACGATATATGATAACTTGAAAAAGTTAAAGGCAGATATATATATATATATATGTGATGTCATGTTTATAGCTTAAATAACACGCATATGCTGATTTGATTGTTTTCTTGGAAAATATTTGACAAAATAATTAATAAAAAATAATAGTAAAATCGTAACAGCTGTGCAAAAAGAGTCAGAAAAGTTTGTTCAAAACAAAGTTTGTAGTTTTAAACGCCACTGGTCTAAGTTGGGATAATTTTTTTTCAAATCGAATGTTATATTATTTGTACTGTGCACACAATTCGGTTCAACTTTTTCATTTATTCCGAGTAATTAAAAATTTCATTTTTTTAACTTTAACGGCCTGTATCTCAAAAACGGTTTAGTTTCGATAACAACATTATTTCTACTGCCCTATGTGTTCCCGAATTTTCGTGGTCAAAATTAGGGACACCCTGTACATGGTCTGTGTCCATTCTATATATGGCCTGTAAAACATTTTATTTAAATTCGCATACTTATTAGACAAACAATACCCGCCTACCACATTCTTGTACTTACTTAAAGTGCCTTTTTTATATCGGACTGGACATTTGAATATGTTTAGTGTCTACTATGCGAGCTTATAATACTTGGCGAGAAAAAAACACAAACTAGTTTTTCCTACTATGTTAATGTCGTGTTGAAATTTAGCATTTTATATACGAACGTCAAAAAAGGTAGTACCTGCCTACCAAAACTAGCCCACCGATTCATTTATAATATATAATTATGTTTGAGTTAATAACAATGGACGAATTGTGTGAAAACAATTATTTTTATTTTTGTAAGCTTGGTTAATTCCAAGTTCATTCTATTCAAAGTGTAAAGATAATGCACATTAGACAAAATTTTATGCTATTGTGTCCCACTTCTATTGTCTCGCGAATTGTTAACTATAACAACGCCTTATTAAGTACTTAAAAAATTTAATTGTCCATACCTTTGACCAATCTTCTTAATTTTTGTGCATCTTTTATGTAATCCCTTTTTAAATATAATCGAAACGGTTTTATAAAATTAGAAATTATCGACATGAAAAAGGTGACTATTTTATGTCACATTTCGGACAGCGATATCGCCTGACTTGGATCCACTTCATATTTTAATCCATTCGAATACACACAAAGCGGATTGTTACAGTACAATCTTAGAAAAAGCGTTAACTGTATTCCACATAATCACGGGAATGCGATTAAAAAAATGCTACTAGCGTTACATGGTCATGTAAGATATCGGTTGTCATCAGATCGAATAAGAAGACCTCCTTTCCACCTAAGAATTGTAGGAATGGGCTATGATGGAGCTGTTACGGTCGGACGCACCAGGAGTCAGCGACCGGTCTACCCGGTGGACCCTGGCGGAGTTATTACAGCTTACAGTGCTGCTTGCTCTTCACTGTGACGTTCAACGTGAACTTCTAGAGGGCCCTCCTCCAATTTTGCATCCGTGCGTTCTGAAATTATACGTTTTCGCTCTTTCGCACCGAAGTTCGAGGATTTTTCCACTCAAAGGAGCTGCTTTTAAGAGCATATTTGTCTTCTAAGGCCGCATATAGATCGAGTTCCAGAGCAGGCCAACCACAGAATCAGCGTTTGATGGGATTCCGACATAATTGGTGTGCGTTGGTTAGGATTAGAATTAGGTGCAAGTGCTGGGTCTATAATACCTGCGTTCTTTCGTTAACAAAAAAAAATAACAAAAGAAAAGCAAATCTGGCGTAATTTAGAAATGGGAATATATCTAGTGGAAGTGATTTGTTGAATATCAGCAATGAATTTAAAGGAGTTATCACTGAAGACCAGCAACAAAAACCGATATCACATCAGGGATTCTGATAGCAAGTCCGCCCCCACGCAGCCTAGCTCAAGAACAACAAGGGCAAGTCAAAGATTACTAATGAAGTGCAATGTAAGTCTGGCGGCGACAGAGTCCACGACATAACAACCCGAAAAGCCATGATACTTTAACATCACATTACTCAAAAAAATGTATACCATCCCTTCTCGGAAAATATTTTACCATTTCTTTCTTGTTCTGATTTTTTGGGTATTCCTTAGTTTATTTCCCGTCTTTTCTTGTATTTTTGTTATACAGAAGCATAAAATAGTAGCGACTAGTTTAAGTATTATATAGAGGTCCAAAATGTCCGAAAAAATTGGGCGCCAGAAAAAAACGTTTTTTTTTCCAGATAAATTGAAAAGCTATATAAAAAATAATATAAATTATTTTAACAAAAAAACATCAGATCATGTCCGCTCAAAAAAAGCTGATAAAGATTCTGAATATGTTCAGAATAACTAATTATAAGAGCATGTTGATCTAGAACCAGAAGCATCAAATATGAAACCTGAAATTTTGTTTCTTTTCGTTGCACACTCATGAAAATTTAATCACTATGTTGTTATAAATGAAATATACCTATAATTTCACTTATCATTTTTTTAAATTATTTAGGATTACACTTCCAATGTCAAAATAACAATACCTAATAATCAACGAATACACAATTCAACAAAAAACAACATACTTTCAATCTCTACTTATTATATTGGAAATAATTTCATTTGATATTGGAAAACTAAATACAGACCAAATCCAACGGAATCAATTGCTTCAAATCCAACTGCTCAAAATCTTTGAGCAGGTGTGCCTTGGTCTCCGTTGAAGTATCGGCCTGCATACACATAACACGAATAAAAAGATTTAACTGAAGTTTCGAAAATTATATCTACGCTTCCTATAAAATTTTGTCAAACATGTATCTGTGTTGTTTGGAAACGAATAATGTAAACACATATGTTTCTCCGAGTTGATAGTTACATGGGGATGAGCCTCGATGAATTTGCTCCAATTTAACGTCGTTATCAAAAATCAAAACATTTCAGGTCGACCTGGTTGCAAATTACACTTAATGTTTTCTAGGAGATGATAATGGAATGCAACAATGTCAGTATCTCCCAAAAGTGCTCCAATAGCTTGAATATCATTGATCAGCGTTGGTTGGATTACTAATGCAGCTTCGTCCGTCTCGTCCAAAAAATTTTTATGAATTTCTTAGACATGGGGAACCTCGAGCAGCTAAAAATGACTCGAAAATAGCTCGATTTTATCAAAATGAATTGATAGAAATTACTTTTTTCATAAGTACGATTTGCTTAACTGTAAAGAAAGTTATGGCAAAATTTTATTGAGGTTATGCAACTTCGTTAATATTGAGTCATCACATCCTAGTTATCAGTTAAGGAAAAATATAGAAGACTAAACACTTCGTTCAATACACTTTAATTCGAAACCGTGACGATTTATTTTTTACATTTCTTCGTCGCGTAGTGTATATTGCGATCATGACGGGTATTTCTCTTTGCGTCTAACTCGGAGATAGTGTCGACATGTAAAAAAACTCTAACTCGAATATTTTCAATTGGAATGCCGACCCACAGAGTCGAACCTTCGAATTTGATTTGGTAATTAATTGAAAACGGCTTCGACCACGTACAAACCGCAAATGTCAGCACCAGGTCAGAATTTCACGCTTTGATTCCTCATCGATGCAACTCATTTATTCAGGGGGCGCTCAAGAATCCGTCTTTTTTTACTATTATCTCATTTGCGGGAATTCGTTATTGATATGATTAAAAAAAAAACTGTTTCTTATTATGTTGGCCTTGATTCCATGTACATAACATTTCCGAAGAGCACGTAGGTACGGTGCTTTCCAGCCGACATTTATAGATAATTTACCGCGTATAAATCGTAAAATAAGTATTCTTGAAATTTCAAATTAGTTTCAACTGAAACGCATGACTGATAGACCGGGCTGTAGATATGTGCTTTGTGTTGTTTACCTTTCTATTTGTTTACTACACAGCGGCCTTATTCTGAATAAGTGGTAGCATCGGATTAAAAAGCAGAAATAATAAAAATTAAATGCATTACGTATACATGAAACTACCACAAAGCAAACTAAACTAACCTCAATCTCTGTCCCAAGTTGCCTTGTTTAGTCACTAGAGGTCATCAAAGTTAGTTAACATTTTAAATTCCGACCAAATAACTGTAAAACGCTTTGCCCCATTAAAAAAATTTCATACGTTGATATAAATGATCATCATTTTGATATTTCTCCCGCATTCTGTATATTATGACGATTAAATTTGAATATCTCTGATTTTTCTTATTTGAGGGATAATTATTGAAAATAATCACCATTTAATGAATTAATAATTAATTAATTAATGAAAATAATCACCATTTTCATTTGGCGAATAAAAAAAATATATATCTTCATGAAATTCCAATCACTGTATTATTATTGCTGGAATTTCATGTTTAGATTCAACAAAAATTGTCGATGTTATCTTGTGTAATATTTATGTGAAAATGGGTAGTTGATAATTTGTAAAAAAAGTGTAACCTACTCTGAATTATTTATATTGAGAGCAACTGATAAAACTTAATACGAAACGTTTTCATTCAGTGACCACATTGGAAGCGTCCTGCTATTTCCCGCAGGAATTTCAAGGGGAATTTCAAATGCAGAGCTCTGCGAGCATTGCCAATGGCGTAGAGTACAACACGCTCAACATCACTGAAAATTCAATACCAATTTGGGGGAATTGTCACAGAAGGATCGGCAATAATTTCATTCTCATGTTCAAGTAAGTACAACACTTCCAATATTTCCCTCCGAAGTATTTAACACATTTTATTTTTTGCACCCTATTTTTTTAAGAATTAAAGTGTTGTTTTAAACCTCGAGGGATTCGATTTAATTTGTGCCCTTCGTAGATTAAAAGTGCTTTAAATCGCATGTTTCAGGGAGTGTCACTTTAAATGTACCTATACAGGGTGTCCCGAAATTCATACAAAGCATGGTCGTAGATTCTTAAGACCTTAAGACTTTAGGGGACCCATATTTTTTCTTTTTGCCAACTGGTCCCCTCTTTCGGAGTTACAGCCCTCTGAAGTCCGCCCCTAAGAATAATCTTTTTTTTATATTAGACAAGGCGAAAACCTCGCATTCGTGGGAGAAATTTTCCGACTAGATTTTTTTGCATATTCAGATTCGTGAAATGTTCCTTAACATGAATCGACATGATGCCGGCCGGAAATCTGGTGACCATTTGTTTAAATAAACTTTTTTTAAACAAATTGTAAAAATAGGTTTTTTCACTGCCTCTAAAATTGATACTTTTAAAGTTATAAACAATTTAAGTTGCTAAAAATGCGAAAATGACGATTTTCAACGGCCGATTTCCGGGTTAAAAATTGTTATTTTTGATGTTGCCGGGTACCTAAATTAAAGTTTAAACATCCCCCTACAAGATGCTGAAGAGTTTTTGGGACTCGCATTATTCTAAAGCCTTGTTTGTGTAAAGCCTCATAAAATAATGTAAAAATTGATTATTTAAATTTCATAATTCATAATAATTTTATTTAATTAATTCAAAATTGTACGAATAGAGTGCAGAAAAAAATAAAAAGGCAATAGTATCAAATATATTTGATTTTTATTAAAGAACATTTATTTAATACTGCATATTATTATTATCACACATTTATTCCATCATAAGAATTCTCACACTGTTCTGTTTTACAATTACATAAAGGTACACAAGTGACATAGTTTTTCCTACAAGAACAAGCTTTAGTCTTACAGTTTTTTCTACATTTACATTGTTTAACTAAGTCTTTGGGTAACGGATCTTTGGTAATTTAGGTAGTAATTTCATTTTGATAACCAAAAGCTGTGAAATCCAAATATTGATATTGAGGAAAAATGGAACTTTTCCATATGTACGTTTGTAAGAAGCTCTTAAGACGTGTAATTTCTATGCATCGGAAGTGCATGGTATTTTACTTAAATTAATACCCATTCGGTATTCTCGGCGGAGACAGAAAATTAATGTTCTAGCTTCATCGACTGTGTTGCGTAGCTTACTTAATATTTTTAGGTATAATCTTTGCAATGCATCAAACTCTTTGTTGCTTAATTCAGATATAAAAATAAGCTGAAGCCGCTGGACGAAATAGCGAATCCGCGTATGAGGCGCGCGCGCGGCTAATAGCGCTTTATTAACAATAAAAAAACAAGGCTTTAGAATAATGCTAGTCCCAAAAACTTTTCAGCATCTTGTAGGGGGATGTTTAAGCTTTAGTTTAGGTACCTGGCAACATCAAAAATAACAATTTTTAACGCGGAAATCGGCCGCTGAAAATCGTCATTTTCGCATTTTTAGCAACTTAAATTGTTTATAACATTAAAACTATCAATTTTAGAGGCAAAGTGCATAGGAACTTTTTTGTTCATAATATGCCAAAAAACCTAAAAAAAATTCCGGAGTGAAAAAAACAAATTTTACAATATGTTTAAAAAAAGTTTGTTTAAATAAATGGGCACCAGATTTCCGGCCGGCATCATCTTGATTCATGGTAAGGAACACCTCACGAATCTGAATGTGCAAAAAAATCGAGTCGGAAAATTTCTCCCACGGATGCAAGGTTTTCGCCTTGTCTATATCTCAGAACCATGTACGAGAATCACTAAATTTAGTACACAGGGGTTTTATGACATGTGGAATCTCACAGTGCTACGCTGTTTGGCGAGAAACCCCCTTAAGACACTTTTTTGTGGGCCCCCTTGTCTTTGGAACCAGAAAAATTTGGTCGCAAATTTGATTTTTTTTAAATTATTAGTTAGCTAGAAAGCCATTGAATGAAAATTTGTTGTCTCTTGATATTTGTTTCGTCAAACGCAATGTTTTTGAAGAAAATGGCGAATCACGATATGCATTCGATCACATTTTGACATTTTTCTCGAAAACATTGCGTTTTACGAAAAAGTATAAAGAGACAAAAAGTTTCTAAGTTTAATGGCTTTCTAATTTTTAAGAAATTTAAATATGCGACCAAATTTTTTTGGCTCCAAAGACAAGGGGGCCCACGAAAAATTGTCTTAAGGGGGTTCCCCGCCAAAAAACGTAGCACCATCAAATTCCACATGTCACAAAACCCCTGTGTACCAAATTTAGTGATTCTCGTACAACAGGGTTCTGAGATATAAAAAAAAAAGATTATTCTTAGGGGCGGACTTCAGGGGACTGTAACTCCGAAAGAGGGGGTCACTTGGCAAAAATAAAAAATACGGGTCTCCTAAATTTGTCGTAAGAATCTGTGACCAAATTTTGTTGCATAAATTTCGGGACACCCTGTAGTAACATAGTAATTACGTACTTAATATTAGGTACAGAACATCCAAATTTGATATCACTAATATATGTTAAGTAATTAAAATAAATAACGGAACTAAACTGTCTTGATTTGAATAGTTTTATTTTGCATTTTGTCAATTAAAAGTGCTATTTTAACTTTTAAACAAAAATAAAAGAATACTAGTATGATTCCAATATTGACCAAGGTAATTTAACAACTGTTAGAATATATTCTGGTAATGTATCCAAGTTTCTATATTTCTGGAATATGTTAAAGAAATATTAACAAATTTTGCATCGGGATTAAAGCATGCACTTTAGTGTTTTGCACTTCGTGAATTAAAAGTACTATTTTAATCCCTAGTTTCAGGTAGTAGTGTTAATCCCTCTATCGAAAACAATGGAATATTTGTAATTCTGTTCAAATCGTTACTTCGATAGTTTGACAGCTGTTATATTTTATTTCATATAAAAATTAATTTATAGTGCGACCAAAAATTAAATATAAAAACTATATTTTAATCGCTTCACCCTTTAAACTGACGAAGGCACTTTAGTTTTTGTGACCGAATTTTCAAAATACTCAGTAGAGCCAACCCAAGTTCCAATAATATATGGCAAACATCTTCAGAGATATTTGCATAGATGGTATTTTTTCAAAGGTTAAGTTCATAAGTTCATATTAAGTTTTTTCCTTGAAATGACCCAACGAATTATCCACCCTGTACACGATATACCATAATTTTGTAAGCATGAGTTAGTACGTATTTATTAAGTGAGAAACAAGTCATATCCACTGACCTTGGGCTATGTACATAATGTTTTGGATACTGAGCAGTAGGTACCTTACGTGTATTTTTTTCCAGTTACAGTGAAACTAGCTGCATCAGATGCTTGCACCTGAAACTGAGATCGCCCAACGTATTGCAGGTTTTCGCGTCGAGCCAAGAAACGATATCCAAATGCTTCACCAACGAAGAATCAGCGGAAGCGAACTGTCCTTCCGAGGAATCCTTGTTAGCGCGAGAAGCGGCGGAAATATTATTATTCAGTAAGTCATTATCATGTAGCTGTTTTCTGTTTTATAACAATAGATTGTAAATCTGCTAATTGGACGACCCCTATGGCATTTTTAGTACCCGGGAATAATTATAACGACCTTTCATAACCAATTACCGTTGTTCTTGCTTAATTATGTAAGATGAAACACGATATCTATTTTTAAAATTATAATCGATGTTTGCAATATTAACAGTTGTGCAACTTGTTTCTTTAATTAAGGCGGGCTTCCTGTTTCCATTACCGGTTTAGGAGATCCTGATTTAACAATTGAAATTCGTCCAGCATTCAACATTTACGAACAAATAACAAAGAGAAACTTTTACACTATTTTTTTGCCACACAGGGTGCTTAGTCGGGAGATCCCCGATGACAATATAGCTAAAACCAATTTTCCCCCTATTTTAATTTTTTGTAACTTTAACGAGTTTGGTTACTAAGGAGACATCTGATTGGCTGTTGTTAAGCGATTTAGTTAAATCAAGTTTAATATCTTTTGACAAACCCACCTTATGAGCTCATCAAAAGAAATTTAATCTGAATTTCCTTAACAACAGCCAATCAAATGTTTTATACTTTAACAACCAAACTCGATTTACAGCCGGTTTATCAAAGAAAGTTTAACCAGGATTTAATTAAATCGAGATTGGTTGCCAATATATGAAATAGGTACCTGATGGGCTGTTGCTTATTTTGACCTCAGGAACCTCCTATTAAGCTGTGACCCACTCTTATGAAACACCCGGTAGAATTATTGTTTCTATTGCAGAGACAAGCGGTTCCTACACCCTGAAACAGTACTGCCCGATCGATGGCAAATACTACCTCAACTACAAGGGTCCCACCACTGACCAACCAAACGAATGCGTAGGCTTCAATTCGACTCTAGACTTATGCCCTTCAGGGTCTACCTTGAATTTCAGATTGCGTAGCTGTACGTTCCAGACGACTGGTAAATTTTAACACTACGCCATAATTTACTAAGCTTTAAATTAGATAATTACTTTATAGACGTGAAGTTCGACTGTTTAGGGCATTGGAAAGGACCCAATGGGGACACTTTTCTTTTATTCACGGATAGCAGACACGTAAACATGCAAAAACCGAAATATAGATGTGCGGTGAGTGGTTTATTTATTCCAAGCATATGAAAATTGCTGAATCAATGCTTTTGTAGTTGTACAAACAAGACCACGTGGGAAAAATAGAAATAGCTCTAAGCAGCGACTCCACGTGTACGTCGGATTTGCACAATTCGACCAGCGGTTTCGAGACCTTTGTTTTGGTGCCGAAAGCAGAGGAACCTTGGCCTGCCGAGGTGTCATTTGGCACGTGTAATTTTCCTAAATGGTTGCACGGCGATTGGGAACACATGAGGGTCGATGGCGATACTATTATTTACAAAGATCATTCTTCTTTCAAGACGTACACTATTAAATGTGTTGGAGATATGGAAGATAGCGACAAATTCGTCATCTTTAGTAGGAGTCAGTGGTAAGTTAGAGTTTTATGTAAAATTTACAGATACAGTAATTCCCGAATTATTCGAACGAAACCAAAAAAATTTATTTTTGTTTTAGCAACGAAGAATCTTACAACTGCATGAGGATAGCTAACAGAAGTAGAAATATAATAGAATTCCAACTAGGAACAAACACTAGCGATATTAAAGATGTATTCAGTCAATGCGCTGACAGCAACTTTAAGAAAGATTCATGGATTACCCAAGGGCGTAAGTATATATCATTTTACAAGAACATGCAATTTATTTCTTCTGAACATTTGCTGTGTATAAACTCATATGTGTGTTAAATTATTCACATTTACCTTATAAAGTCAATGTTCAATAGGCCCATTCAGTAGAATTTTTTTTTGCATATTCCAAAAGTTTACCCTTTAGTTAGTTAGTATGCCAAAAATCATTTTTTCGTTTCAACGACAAATGTGTGAAATAAATTAATGAAAACAGAACGCGGAAAAACTTTGAGCGATTGCCTGACGTCATAATACCGGTACGGGCGACTGGCAGAGCACTCCGCTCGCGCTCGCGCTCGCTCTCATCCCATTATGTGTTAATACATACGGTGTGTGGTTCGCTTGACAGTTTCGTTAATCATTGTTTTTATGTCTAAATGGGTCGAAACCGAGGATTGTACAAATATTGTATAGTTCCAGGCTGCAAAAGTACCTCAGGATCGACTCCGAATAAAATATTTATTTCATTACCGAAAAATGAAAAGTTTGTGTGATGTTATCCATGGTTTCCCCAGCCACGGTATGCAATTCAAAACCACCTTCGTTTTTCTTTGGTTGCACGTCTAGGGGGTTGTAAAATATTATTATTTGAACATTTGGAGCACAATTTTCAACTTTATGCCGGAAAAAAAATTCTACCCCATCTAAATGTTCATTTTCACAAAAAATTCGAAATACGTCGGCGAGAGGGACCTATAAGCAGTTAAGAACCAGTCGTTTTTCTTTGGTTGACCGTCTAGGGGGTTGTAAATATTATTATTTGAACATTTAGAGCAGAATTTTAAAATTTATGCAGAAAAAAAAATTCTACCCCATCTAAACGTTACCGTCCACAAAAATTTTGAAATACGTGGCGGGAGGGACCTATAAGCAATTTATTTAAATAATAATATTTTACAACCCCCTAGACGGGCAACCAAAGAAAAACGAGGGTTTTACAAATTTTACACTTATTATTAATCCTATTGACCTATTTTTTTTGGAGATATATTTAGGTGGTTAAATACTATCAGAAAATGAAAGAAAAAGTTTAGAATTATATATCACTGAATGGGACTATTCTCACGTGGTAGTTTGAGTTGTGTACATGTGGATGTGAGGATTTGACAATGCTTCGCTGCGACTCAGTTGAAGCTGAAAGATTGAGGTCCTTTTCTAAATTTTCTTGACACATGACTTGGCAAACCGCAATTTGTTGGTGCGCATGTATGATTGGTTATGTTTCATGCGAAACGATTCTTAAAACGTACATGCGGATGGATGAATTTCCGACTATAAATTTTGAACCATTTCCCATTTACTTATAAAAATAGCTTATGATCATCATCTGACCATGTGATACTTTCAGGGATCGAAATATCCCCAGGTACTTCCCCTGGCATGTGTCCCATAACAGGTGAATACACAGGGCAAATTCCGGATGCTACGATCCTATGTGCCAAGCTGTGGTCCGATTGTAGGGCCCCTGAACTGATGTACTACCAAGTCTCCCATTGCGAGTCTCAAGAAGTATACGAAGAAAGAGAATACCAATGTTTGGGCCACTGGCGCGAGGCTAATTTGTTGTATACCTACACCCAACGAAGAGATGTAGCTGCAGGTACTTACGAGTGTTTTGTCGGATCCATCTTCACCGACGAAGAGATTTACATAAAGGAAGCCGGAGAACATTGCCAAAGAAACGTGGATCCGCTTCGGCATGGCATGAAGCTTATCAAGAAACAACCGTTATATTCTTGTATAGAAAGAAGTAAGTCCCAATTTTGAAAGCTCCAACTTGTATTTATTTTTTCGGTTATTTTAGGTACCACACCTAAACACATCACAAGAATATCCACTGAAAGATCGATACCAAAGTATACATCCACTTTTACTCCGAGACGTACCACGTCAGGCCAAAACATGGGTAAGTAAATTTTTTGCAGCCTGTAGTTAGTCATACCATTCTATTCAATAACCGTTCTGCTAAAAAAAGTTTTAAAAGTATTTAATGGAGGTGGAGTTTTTTATGATTACAGACCAGAGTTGCAATATACACATTAGTTGTGGGTTCTGCGTCGGTGACTTCATTTTGCGCAGGAAATGAATGTAATCAACAGCACACAGAACATTTTCAATAGCCTCTACAACTTGGCAGTCATTCTGAATTTTTGTAGAAGTAGAAAAATGTGTAAAAGTTGATTTGACGTTGACAATCTTTTAATTAAAATATTTCATTTTTATTAATTAAACTTAATAAAAAACGGCAAAAATCTATATTTTTTCTTAAAATTGTTTTAATTTTTTCAAAAATTAATTAGACGTACCTCATGAAACTTTCGAAACATACTTCTCAAGGCAGGTATAATAAACTCCCGAAACCCGTTATTGGACAGATAAGTCGTTGCTGAATTACTGACGGATACTCTGGATTTTTTAAATTGTCATGTCACATTTTATTATGTATCAAAATATACAGGGTGTTAATTAAGTATGTACAATAAATTCAGCAGACGATTATTTGAGTGATTTTAAGACAAAAAGTTCATATAAACATTGGTCCGCAGATGCCTCGTTTTCAAGATACAGGGTGTTAAACTTTTGTAAAAAAAATGCTATTTCTAAATATCTTAAATAACCTTTACCCAATTTTGTTGTAATTTGGCATTGTTATTTGTACATTATGTTATTTAGATGTTATATGTTATTAATAAAAAATGATAAAATATGACAATTTCCAAAAGAAACTTTTCCCCATGTTTCTTGTGTGGTTCAGGGATATGCAATTAAGTGGATTTTATTTTTTTTCTACAAAAATTAAAAAAACATTCAAGTGACAAAGAAGTTGTATTCTTAGTTGCTTAATTCAAAAAATATATAAAAATTACAAAAAAGTCAGTGGCGTATATTTTTTTTGTCAAAAATATTCGTTAAGGTCGGGATACCACTGGACTTAATAAATCTAATCAAGTTAGGGTTAAATTAGCCCCTTAACACTGCAAATAACACTGCCAAATTACAACAAAATTGGGTAAAGTGTATTTAAGATATTTACGAAATACCAATTTTTTACAAAAGTTTAACACATCTTCAAAACGAAGCATCTGCGGATCAATGTTTATATGAATTATTTGTCATGAAATCACTCAAATAATCGCCTGTTCAATTTATTGTACATACTTAATTATATGTATAAGTATATACATATACAGGGTGTCCCGAAATGAATGCAACAAAATTTGGTCACAGATTCTTACTACAAATTTAGGGGACCCGTATTTTTATTTTTGCCAAGTGGCCCTCTCTTTCGGAGTTACAGCCCCCTGAAATCCGCCCCTAATAATAATTTTTTTTTTTATATCTCAGAACCCTATTGTACGAGAATCACTAAATTTGGTACACAGGGATTTTGTGATATGTGGAATCTACGCTTTTTGGCGGGAACCCCTTAAGACAATTTTTCGTGGGCCCCCTTGTCTTTGAAGCCAAAAAAATTTGGTCGCATATTTAAATTTCTTAAAAATTATTAATCCGCTAGAAAGCCTTTAAATTTAGAAACTTTTTTGTCGCTTGATACTTTTTTCGTAAAACGCAATGTTTTGGAGAAAAAATGTCAAAATGTGATCGAATGCATATCGTGATTCGCCATGTTCTTCAAAAACATTGCGTTTTACGAAAAACATATCGAGAGACAAAAAAGTTTCTAAATTCAATGGCTTTCTAGTTAATAATTTTTAAAAAATTCAAATATGCGACCAAATTTTTTTGGTTCCAAAGACAAGGGGGACCACGAAAAAGTGTCTTAAGGGGGTTCCTCGCCAAAAAGCGTAGCCCTATCAGAGATTCCACATGTCATAAAACCCCTGTGTACCAAATTTAGTGATTTTCGTACAACAGGGTTCTTAGATATAAAAAAGACTATTCTTAGGGGTAGATTTCAGGGGGCTGTAACACCGAAAGAGAGGCCATCTAAAAAATACGGGTCCCCTAAATTTGTCTTAAGAATCTATGACCAAATTTTGTTGCATTCATTTCCGGACACCCTGTATAAAAAAATTGTTTTAAAGTGCCATATTTTAGGGTCCCCTATTCGCAGCTACCCTATGTCGGTTCATTTACGAATCACCCGGTATATTTGCGACATGAAACGAAAAAGATAGTGTTTACAGTAACTCATTTATTTACGGCGATGTTGAACTAGATTTATTTGTTTTCATTATAGAAGGTTGTTCTTTGTGCTCGAAATGTTATTACTAGAATTCCTATTATATTCCATCTTCCACCATATTGACTGATTTCTATTCGGTTTAAAGCAAAACGAAGCATGCGCAACGTAGCTAAAGATTTTCTAAAGACATTGAGTTTTTAGTCCAGGGTTGACTCTAGGAACGAAAATCCTAACACATAAGGAACATTTCAAACATCAATTGACCATTATAAATATAAATGTTTTTGTGAAAGTCTATGTTAAAAAACGTAAAATTGTTATGTTAGTTTTTGAATGTTTGAACAAAACTAAACCGATTCTTTTAATGGATCATTTCATCAGAATAAGAGTATTTCCAAAGGTTTCATTAATAAGGGACAAGACATTAAGAAAGTTTAAGCTGTTAAGAACACTACAAATTTTAAAAAATGATACGTCGCTGGTATTTACTTTAATATTTTATTACAAAAATTTGAAGCCAACCCTGGACATAACCCATAAATCTACAAAATCACATTCGGATAAAAATATTGCTTACGTCAATATGCTTTGAACGTGTCCAAGTGACATCTATTATAGTACTATACCAATTCTGATTTCAAATAAGTCAATACAAGTCACATGCATAGGTATACGTTTTGTTTCAGATACAGATTCTAAACCAGGCGACAAAAGTACAGGGCTGAGTGCAATTTCTTATCCAGTTATCACCGTGTATATATTATCGTATTTATTTATTAGATATTTGTAATTTCAAAGACTTATATTTTATTTATTTAAATGAAGCTGGTCTTGCCAGGTTCGAAAGAACTGTTTTATCTTTCAGTTATCTGTTATTAAACACATTACATGCAATATATTCTTGTAGGATTCTATAGCTTCCCAAGTAACCTTAAGTTGTTAAATTTTCTTTATCAGGTATTTAGAAGCTATAGGATTCAGATCGAAATAAGACGAACGACTGATTTTCACTTTCTTAGGAACTTCGATTCATTAGAATAATTTTCTACTTTTATAAATATTTCTTTGATATTTACAGTAGATGACAGAAATTATATTTTATATTGTTATTAACAAGCTAATATGGAGCTCATAAATAAGTACGAATTAATTTTATATGTTAATGTTATCTCATTTTTGTCACAATTTAAACAAAGCACTTTACATACAACCCCTTAAAATATGAAATTGATTAATTTACTTTTTTTGTATGCCAAAATTGTATATTATCTGTCTCAATTTTTATTGTATACAGAATGTTATTATAAGTAGATTGTATATTTTTACGTGTGTCTAAATGTTTGTGAGTTTATCAAGGAGCCTTTTCTCTAAAAACGTGTGTGAATGTGATGTATTTTTTGCTCAAGGTGTCTACTAAGAGCATTTGCCTTAATAGTGATGTAAATTCTATTGTGATTGTAAATTTATTTATATTTAAAATATATGTACTTAATTTATTATTGTTTTAATTCATTGAAATTTCCTAATTCACCAACTGTTACTTTAATGTATATTTTGTTAATGTTAAATATATTTACTAGGTACCAGTTATTTCATCTAATTAAATTACTTGCATCTACATAAATATATTCCGAGCTTCTTAGATTTCAAAATTAATTTGAATATAAATTGATGTGAACTCAGGGTCAGGNCTGTTACTTTAATGTATATTTTGTTAATGTTAAATATATTTACTAGGTACCAGTTATTTCATCTAATTAAATTACTTGCATCTACATAAATATATTCCGAGCTTCTTAGATTTCAAAATTAATTTGAATATAAATTGATGTGAACTCAGGGTCAAGGTACCTACTAACAGAAGCAGAAATCTTTGTATGAATTAAGATCGCAGTGTAAACAACAATAGCAACAACATAAAACGTAATAAATGTAGGTGTATTAATCTGAAAATAGAAACTGAGTTAAATATTATCAATGTCAGGATTTATTATGTCAAATTATCATGAAAACACATAGCATTATAATATGTAGTTATATTAAGGTGACCAATCGTCCTCCTTTAGGGAGGACAGTCCTTCTTTTGTAGATTGTGTCCTTCCTCGAAAAGTGTCCTCCTTTTCGATATTTTAAAACTAATCTGTTAATCTCTGTATTCAGAGATGCCGCGCCGAACTATTACGCGTCATGTAACGGTACAGTTCGGAAAGACGCGATTATGAAATGCATGCGCACTTCACTTTGTTGGGCATAACAGAAAAGTTTACCAAAGAAGTGCAGAATTTTTACCAAACATGTTTCCAATATGTCGAAGAAACAAATATCACAGGGAATAACAGTTTTCAATGGTGTTTTTTGACTTCATCGCAAGTAAATTGGGCAGATATTGAAAATTGTATTGAGTTTTTATTGAAAGAAATGCCTGATATTAAAATCGATGACAATTGTATATTTGAAGAAATTAGAAGATTGAATGTATATGTAAATTCTGATAAATTAGAACAATGGGAAAATCAACATGTTGAAATTGATAAAAGATGGGTGGAAATATTTAACCATTTCAAAAATGAACACATTCCATATGAAAATTTAGTTATTCTTGTTGAATTTACATTGTGCTGCTCTGAAACTAATGCAGCAGTTGAAAGAGTTTTTTCAATTGGTAATGATTTTTGGACAAGTGAGAAATCAAGATTGAATGTTGATACTCTAGCTGCAGCACTTACCGTAAATTTCAATATGAAGGATATTTCTTGCTCTGAAATTTCCAATATACTTTTAGAAAATGATATNTCCCTGCAAAGTGAAAAAACTGTTTTCCTCACTTATTTGTTTAAATAGAAAAGTTAGCTAATAAAAGTTTTTGACTCACGAGACGAGAGATGTCTTGTATTATGTTCCTTTAGACAATTTTACAATAATCTAGCGGATAGGACTTTTTTCGAGTAAAAATTTAATTTGCTTGGTCTATATATAGTTATATGAATGCACCATAGACAACCCACCGAGTTCGTATTCGTTTTTTTAGATTATTGACGTCAATTAATATAACAGCGTGAATGCTAGGTATGTATCTAGAAAATATAATTATAGGTATTTATTACGCAGGATTGAATGTTGTTTTTCAATTAAAAATATAAAAATTAATTTTATTATACCTTTTACACAATTCTAACTCGGCCATTTAGGCCATACATACAAGGCTGCAGATCATTGATCTGTTTTGATGCATCATCAAAACGTGCTACGTCATATCCGTATAACGATGTCTAAAAAAATAATTAATAAACATTTTTTCCAAACACAATTCAATGTCATAGATTGTCTCTGAAACACAGACATAGATTCCAGCTTCAACGCCATCTGCAGTTTTGTAGTTGTCCGTGTACCAACAACTATCTGCCCTTAAAAGGTCAGTTCTGTTCAGATTCCATTAAGGAGAACGATATTGAAAGGCAGTTTATGGTTATAATTATTTCGTGTAGTCATAGCATCTAAAGTCTGTGGTCTTCCATATATTTTAATAATCTATTGTGCGCCACAGTCTCAAAAATATCCGCTTACATAATCTGTATATTGCTCAATTGATTTCTATACCAAAAATATAAGAGGTAGCAAATCCAGGGAGATTTTCAGAGCAGCTGACGGGGGGCAAGCCGTGCATGGAGATGATTGCTCCAGTTATCGCCAGACATTCTCGAAATTTAGATCACCAAACCGTCTAGCCATACATGATCATATGTCTGATGATTACACATATAGCCTGTACACTTATTTAGGGGTTTACACTACAGTTTATTAATAAATGCATTATTTCTGAAGATCATTACATTAAATCATATACTCATTGGCATTGCGGGATACACAATAGATAGACACACATTTTGTATACTAAAGCCACCTATAGGTGACATCCAGTATTAATTAATTCTATTCGCTAGATGTCGCGTAGCCTTCTTGTTAGCTACTTAAAAAAGCTATTGTCCATCCACATGTGAAATCTCATTGGTATTCGGACTTGCGCAGAGAGGGTGTAAATACCGATTCTGATTTTTTAATGTCAAACGTCAAATAAAAATCAAATTGATTTCGAGCGATTGTATAAAGGGGGTGGAAAAAAATGTTTAAAATGACATAAATGTCAATATACTTCCCAAGAATTGTGCAAAAAGCAGCTTAAGCTATTCCTATTCTGCTTTGGAAAGGAATACGACATAGAGAAAATGGCTATGTACAAAGGTTTTCGCGTTCTTGAGAAGTCCAAACCACCCAGTCCTCACAGTATTTTACTGGAGCACAAGGGAAAAGAAACCACTTTACTATTTGAATCTCAAGCCGTGGCAATGCTCTGTAAGTTATTTAATTACCTATATAAAATTTGGTTTTATAAAAAATGTTGTAGCTGCCCAGGAAACCGAAGCAGTTAAGAAGCAATATACGAAGATAATAGATGCTTATGGATGTTTAGGAGTACTCCAGTTAAATGCAGGAGAATCTACAGTTTTATATTTAGTAATGATAACAGGATGTTTCTCTATTGGTAAAATTGGAGACTCGGAAATATTTCGAATAACTCAAACCCAGTTTGTACCATTACATTATCCCCAAAATGAAGATCGGGTAGTTGAAGTAAGTCGTCATAGTTCATTTTACTATATAAAAACGTATTTAAACATTTTGTTTTTCAAGTTTTTCATAGACTGTGATAAGAGTACTTAATTGTATTTATATGGCACTAATGAACCAAGCTTTTTAAATGTAATGTAGCAAAATGATTTTAGGTAAGGAAATTATTAAATTCTGGTACATTTTACTTTTCATGGTACTCTGGTCCCCCTGGAGGTACTGCTTTGGACCTCACATTGTGCGCACAACGAAGAAACAAAACGTCGGCTACAGACCACAGATTTTTCTGGTTTGTTCGTATTTTAGATATAATTATCACATAATTAATTTCCTTATTATAGGAATCGAATGTTACATGTCCATTTAGTAAGATTTGGAGTAGACTGTAGCAGCTGGCTAGTACGTACAATGTGCGGTTCTGTAGAAATACGTACAGTTTATGTAGGACACAGAAAAGCATTGGCTTCCGTTATTTCTAGGTTAAGCTGCGAGAGAGCTGGGACAAGGTAGGTATTAATAACTCATTAAAACAGAATACAAAATGAAATTTTTGTTAGGTTTAACGTTAGAGGCACGAATGATGAGGGACACGTTGCTAATTTTGTAGAAACGGAGCAAGTGATATATCTTGATAACGAGGTTTCTTCTTATTTGCAAACACGTGGCTCTGTTCCTTTGTTTTGGGAACAACCTGGTATCCAGGTTTGTATTAAATGTATAAAATATAAACGAAAAATGGGCCCATGTATGAACATTCAGAAAGTATCAATTTACATGGAACTAAAAACATGACAATTTTTTTGTCTATTTGTAGCATGATAGAATGTAAAGTATAAATTTTGTTACTTATACAACCATTAATTTTTGAAGATGCTATTTCATAAACTAATTTTAATGTTCCGTGACCTAAATAAGCTATCTGTGAAATTTTTAAATTATTGAAATTTTTTCAATAACCACTGAAAACTTTTTTTTTGTTAATTTTGTATTTTACTTTCCGTTAATTTTTAATGGTATCGGTAAATAATCATGAAACATTCAACACATGACCTATAGAGGTATGTTGTCTGTGAACAACCCATTTGGAAAAACTGGATCTCATTTCTGAAGGAAGTGAATCGAATCGGAGAAAACTGAATAACTGGTTCACATCTTCTTACCTCTGTATCTGGTATATTCGCTCTGAGTCATACCAAAATTAATCAGATCTGTAGTTACTAAATTGTTCATTTTGAAAACTATATCTTTTAATGCTTTATAAATTTATAAAGGTCCAGAAAATGTCAGTGATTTAAATAAAGAGCATCATTATTATATACAGGATGTACATATATTAAGGTATTATCATACTGATTACTATTATGATTATTAAAAAACTACTGTCCACCTCTAATGACCTTCGAGAAAAAGGTGACATCTATATTAATGTAAGTGGCACTCATCTAGAATTACCATTTTTTACCTGACATATACACTTTTGATTTCATTTTTTAATATTTTCACTAATTTTACAAATTGTAACTACTAAAATGGTTAAATGAAGCCATTCTCTCTTGTCTATTGTAAAGTCATTTTTTCCCCCGGATTGTGTAATACTAATAAGCCAAAACTATGGGAATAAATAAAGATTTGTACTGAATTCAAGAGGACTAATTTTCCCTTTCAGATTTAGAATATTGATTGCCTAGGTTTAAATACAGCTGATGATTCCTACCAATATGCAAGTTAAAAATTTACTAACATTTACATTATACAGGGTGTCCTATAAGCACATGATCAAAAAGGTACTGCGACATTCTTTGGCTCTGCTATTGATTGTCAAAGTTCTTGGAAAAAATTATGTTTTTTTTGTAATGTCTGGAGAATGTTACTGTGGATTTTATTCAAACTTGTTGTGGACTTGTGCCTGAGTAAGACTTGTGTTTTGGTGAAGCAACCGTATCCATGTGCCTTGGGCAAGTGGTAAATTCTTAAGTGTCTTGGTACAAGAATTACCAGAACTTTTTATTTGGTCGCTGGAATCAATTCATTTTTTTTTATTTATGCATCAATCATTTTTCAAGACTCGTGCTCTTAGTAAAATCTTGTAACCTTTTTTCCGTTTTGTTGCGACTTAACAATTTTAGACGTATCGCAGTAAATCTTCCCTTTTACAAGAAGCTGTTTCTCTAATAATAATTATGTCAATTCTTTTACCTAGTAACATTGAAAGTAAAATTGACACAATTTTAAGCCTGTCGTGGTGCGACGGATTGAATATCATTTTATTTCATTAGATTTATTTTTTGTTAACACGCAAAAAATGTAAAGACGTACTTATGAAAGATATAATTCTCTTTATTGAAGCTGGATGATAGTTACATAGATATGATAGATGATAGAATTACAAGACATGTTCGATATACCCACCATTTTCTTGGATGCATAGCTGGATCCTTCGATGAAAATTGAATTGAGCCCTCAACATTTCTGGATCATTCCATACTACTTCTGCCTCGTCAAAAGTTTAACAATTCATTTATTGTAAAATGATATCATCGCTTACTACGATAGTAGTGATTGTTGTACTTAAGTAGTAGTGATAATGATTGTCTGAAATTGAAAACATTTGTTTGCATAAAAACTGAATGCTACAAGATTTTACCAAGAGCACGAAAATCTCGAAAAAGAACTGATGCATCAAATGGACTATTGTAATACATCGTTTAAGCGTTGTTTATAATAGTCATTTTTAGTAACAGAAAAGTTACAAGCAACTAATAAATTCTATATGTAATATATAAAAAATATATTTTTAAATAATTTTTATTTTTAAATTTAGAGACATCGTACATGGGCTCATTCGGTATTAACATTTCAGCATTAGCAAGAAAAAAATATTGTTATTTTAGCTTCATAACTCTTATATGGTTTTTAGGTTGGATCGCACAAAGTGAGAATTTCCAGAGGTTACGAAGCATCAAAAGCAGCATTCAACAGACACATGGGTACTATAAAAGAACGCTATGGCAAGCAAGTCATTGTTAATCTGCTAGGTACAAGTTTGATCGGCAGCAAAGAAGGTGAAGCAACGCTTAGCCAAGAATTTCAGGTTCAAAATTTATACTCGTGTAAAGAATTTGTTTTCAATTTTTTATTTTAGAAACATCATAAAGAGTCTCCTCATACTGATGTGCCACACATCGTTTTCGACTACCATCAAGAATGCCGTGGTGGAAATCAGATCAATTTACAAAAATTGAAGGGCAAAATTGAACAACAAATACAAGATTTTTCATTTTATCATGCCGTGAATAACACCATTTATAGGTAAGTCTTTATAATTTTCCAGAAATATCTTCTGAGACACAGCTTTAGGGCCCTACTTATATAGCATTTTTTATAATCAAATTGACTTGTGATTTAAATTGATTTGTTTCTATAGTTTACAGACTGGTACGATACGAACGAATTGCTTAGACTGTCTCGACAGAACTAACTGTGTCCAAACATTTTTCGGGCTAGAGGTAATTTGACAAACCCAGTAATGTATTCTTATTCTAACGGTGTCTTTCTTTCCAGATATTGGCCAAGCAATTGCAATCCATGCAACTCGTTGACAAAAAGCAAACTATCTCGAGATTTGAAGAGGTCTTCAAACAAATGTGGATAAACAATGGCAATGAAATTAGTAAAATATATGCTGGAACTGGTGCTATTCAAGGAGGATCCAAAGTAAGTTCCAATTTCGATTTGTCATAATCTAGATTAGCGTAGTACTTATATGTTATAAAGTTGCATAAATTCAATTTAATGATTCTTAGTGATCACTTATTTTTTAGCTAATGGATGGAGCTAGATCAGCGGCTAGAACTATTCAGAACAACCTTCTAGACAACTCCAAACAAGAGGCTATTGATATATTGCTTGTAGGCTCCACTTTGTCTACTGAGTTAGCAGATAGGGCTAGGACTTTACTCCCTTACAACACCCTTCATGGTAAGCATTGATCTACTTTAGATTAAATTTTTTATACGAAAAATACTGCTTTTAAATTAAAAGAACTAAAAGAAATTTAATATAAATTACTTATAAATAATCTTTTTAGCGCCTAATCATGTACTTAGAGAAATGTGTAATCGATACGCGGAATACACTGAGCCTTTGCCGATGCGTATTGCCGTGGGAACATACAATGTCAATGGTGGCAAACATTTCCGCAGCGTAGTGTTCAAAGATATAAAATTATCCGATTGGTTATTAGACCCACACATTAAAAACCAGGGCAGTTTAGTAGACACTGGTTACACAGACGATCACAAAGCAATACCCGTTGATATATATTCTATTGGGTTTGAGGAAATCGTAGATTTGAATGCTGCAAACATAGTTAATTCTAGCACGGAAAATGCTAAAGCATGGGCTGTCGAATTGCAAAAAGTATTGTCACGTGATAGGCCGTATGTACTCGTAACGTACCAGCAATTAGTCGGTGTTTGTTTGTATGTTTTCGTTAGGCCTGAACATGTACCGTATATAAGAGATGTTGCTGTAGATTCAGTCAAAACAGGCTTAGGAGGACATACTGGGAATAAAGGCGCGGCAGCAATACGTCTTGTCCTTCACGCTACATCATTCTGTTTTGTGTGTGCACATTTTGCCGCTGGTCAATCGCAAGTGGTTGAAAGAAATGCCGATTATAATGAAATTACAAGGAAGATAACATTTCCTATGAACCGTTCACTGAACTCGCATGAATATTTGTTTTGGTGCGGAGATTTCAACTATAGAATTGATATGGATAAGGAAGAGTTAAAAGAGTTAATACGCCAAGGCGATTTCGAAACTATTCTTCAGAGTGACCAGCTTAAAAAGCAGCAAGAAGAAGGAAACGTTTTCAAAAACTTTATTGAAGGAGATATAACTTTTGCTCCGACTTATAAATACGATCTTTTTAGTGACGACTATGACACTAGTGAGAAATGCAGAGCTCCTGCTTGGACAGACCGAATTCTTTGGAAACGTCGGAATCTTTGCCCTGATATAAATGGTTCCACACAAGAATCACCTGGTAAGCTAGTATACTATGGCAGAGCAGAATTAAAGCAAAGTGATCACAGACCTGTCATTGCCTTTGTTGATGTGGAGGTGAGACGCATCAATGAGGATAAACGGCAGCAAGTTTTTTATGAAGTTATCGCGGATATGGGACCCCCAGATGGAACAATTATAGTGCATTGCGAAAATTTGCCACAGAATGATGATATTAGTGTTTTTGAAGACAACATTGTGATGACAATTCTTGAGGATTTTGCACAGTTTGGCGAAACTATTCTAGTAAGATTCGTGGCAGATACCATGTGGATTACTTTTAGGGACGGGCAAGCTGTTTTAGAGGCATTGAAGAAGACGAATGGGAAAATTATGGTATGTCTAACCTCCATCATTTTTAATTTAGTAACTATTCAAATAAGTGTGTCATTCAGCATCAATTAATTACACCAGAATTGTAGAAGTAATAATATTGGTTGACAAATATCATTTATTCTAGATTCAGGACTATGAATTAACTCTATCTCTAAAGACTCCACATTGGGTAGATCAAGCAAAAGAGGAAATTGGATTATGCTCAAGTAATACAGTTCCACTGTATATATCACCCAGTCAGTCCGACTATAACTGTGAGTCTTTTTTTACGGAGTTATACTCATATGTCTTATATAAATTTTTGCAGGTTTAGGCATACCAGAGGTACCCAAGCCTTCAAGAACTATTCCCCCTGGTCGACCCCCACCACCCACTGTAAAATCTACTCCTCCTTCCTCTAGAAGAATACCTCCCAGAGCAGGCGTAATCAGCATGCCAGTAATACCTCCTTCTTCAGCACCTCCAAATATGCCTCCACCTGACTTGCCTCAGCAGATGTCTCAGGAAGAAGGAGTGTATGAAGAGATCAGTGATGATGTTTTGAGTACTCCCGAACCCCTAGGTCCTCCACCGCCCCCTCCACGACCAGAACCGGCATTACCTTCAACCCCAACAAGAGGCCCCCCACCGGTTCCAGCTAGATCCGCTCCTCCGCCTCCATTACCTGCACGACCAAGATCTTAGGCGTTCCAACTAGTCAATGCTTTGTTTTGTATGTAATGGTCGGAGGCGTGGAATATTAATTATTTAATATTAGGGTTCTTCTTTCTTATAGCAGTGGCGACTGGTAGATTTTCTAATAGGTAGCACGTATTAGGATGTTGATTTTAGTCATTGGGAAGCTGCTGTTTTTTATAAATTTTATTATTTATTTTTTCTTTTGAGTGAAGAGTTTTTAAGCTGTTAAAATTTTTTGTTATTAAATTTTATAACACGTATTAGAGAGTAATCTAGGTGATGGTCTTTTCAAACAACACGAAGCATTACAAATATCTCTAATATACAGGGTTATCCAAAAGTCCCGGTACGGCAGAAAAACTTTGGAAGAATGCATTTTAGGAAAAAAATGTTTGACAGAAGTGTAAGGATTTTTCCCTGGCTATCTGATGGTGACCTTGGATTTGACTTTGACTTTGACCTTCAAGGTCATTTGAAGTTCAAGTTAAGATTTTTAAATGGGAACCCCTATTTTTTATTGCGGATTTGGAAAGAGCAGGGAATTTTACGTCCAAATATGGTCTTAACGATGACTTTAACAATGACCTTCAAGGTCACATGTGGGTCGAGTTCCAAAAGTCCCAGTACGGCAGAAAAACTTTCGAAGAATGCATTTTAGGAAAAAATGTTTCAGACAGAAGTGTAAGGATTTTTCCCTGGCTATCTGATGGTGACCTTGGATTTGACCTTGACTTTGACCTTCAAGGTCATTTGAAGTTCAAGTTAAGTTTTTTAAATGGAACCCCTATTTTTTATAGCGGATTTGGAAAGAGCAGGGAATTTTACGTCCAAATATGGTCTTAACGATGACTTTAACAATGACCTTCAAGGTCACATGTGGGTCGAGTTCCAAAAGTCCCAGTACGGCAGAAAAACTTTTGAAGAATACATTTTGGGAAAAAATGTTTCAGACAAAGGTGTAAGAATTTTCCCTGGCTATCTGATGGTGACCTTGGATTTGACCCCAACTTTGACCTTCAAGATCATTTGAAGATCAAGTTAAGTTTTTTAAATGGAAACCCCTATTTTTTATAGCGGATTTGGAAAGAGCAGGAAACTTTACGTTTACTATGACCTTGACCAATTCCTTGACCATGACCTTCAAGGTCAAATATGGGTTGAGTTCCAAAAGTCCCGGTACGGCAGTACTCCCGACCAATTAACGCAAGGTAGCCTTTAGTTTCGACCAATTAAAGGCAAGGTGGTGTGTGTACCCGACTAATTAAGGCAAGGTGGTGTGTATACCCGACCAATTAAGGCAAGGTGCTGTGTATACCCGACCAATTAAGGCAAGGAGCGTGTAATCCCTACCAATTCTTATGTCCATCTAGGAATCTGCCAAAATGTTGATAGAAAACATTTTGACCACAGGTTGTGTTGTAAGCCTTGTACTGGCTGAGATTGTTAGCCATTCCTTAACTGTCCGGGATCGTTAGCCTTGCCTTAACTGGCTGGGCTATCCTTGCCTTAACTGACTGGGATCGCTAACTACCCTACAGTGACTGAAATCTTTTAAAATTCTTGAAAAAAATCTTTTTAAAATGACCTTCAAATACTGGTTCAAGGCCAAGAGCTTGATTATGGTCATATTCGTACATTTGTTTTTCCATTCTTCCTAACTTACCAAAAGAATAATAGTTAATGTAAATAAATTAACCTGACTTTGACATGATTTTGAGGGTCATTTTGTCAAAGTCGTAGTCAAGGTCGTAGTTGAAGGTTAAATTTCAGCTCTTTCCAAATCTGTAATAAAAAATAGGGGTTACCAATGAAAAAACAACTTTGACCTTGGAATTACCTTGAAGGTCATTGTCAAAGTCATGGTCTAGACCAAGGGTCGGCAACTAGCGGAACCACGGAAGTTAAATTAAAACTTTTCGAAAGTATAAATTACTCAATTAAATCATTTAAAAAATAGTTTTCTATTGATAATAATACGTTTGAGTTCCACCCTTATCATTTCTACTACAATTGCGTGATTGATTTGAGTTCTTAATGGTTAGTAGGTAGATTAAATTTGTGAGTGCAAATTAAAATAAAAACTTAGTAAGGAATGTGTTTTTTTTGTGGACTTCGTTAAAAATTTTCGAAAGTATCCGGACCCCACCTAAAATTACTTGCCGACCCCTGGTCGAGACCTTATTTGGACATAAAATTTCCTGCTCTTTCCAAATCCGCAATAAAAAATAGGGGTTTCCATTTAAAAAACTTAACATAACCTTCAAATGACCTTGAAGGTCAAAGTCTAGGTCAAATCCAAGATCAGCATCAGATAGCTAGGGAAAAATCCTTACACTTTTGTCTGAAACATTTTTTCCCAAAATGCATTCTTCAAAAGTTTTTCTGCCATACCGGGACTTTTGGATAACCCTGTATATTGCATGTTTGTGTTGTAGATTTTTATTTCTTATTTTTTAGCATGGCAAATTTAAACAGTCGCCATTGCATTATGATATTGAATTGATTGTACCCTTGCACTGTTATTTCTTGCCTTAGTCTGTGAATGAATTTGGCTGTAATTATTTAGTTTAATTATGTACTGAATTTTTACCTTCCAGGTTCAAGTGACACGAATATTACTCCTTTAAAACTATTTTTTATGTGTGTTTTAAATTAGTGTAACAATGCTGTAACGAAATTAGTTGATACAGCAAACTGATATTTCCTTTAACGAATACCACTTGTTGATTTTTAATTTGAATCTGTGGGGTACTCTTGAAAAATGTATTTCTGATTTATTTCGTAGGTTATTTTTAATTCAAAAAATATTTCTTAATCAATCGAATAAAAAAAAGACATGTATTCTAGATACTACAAAAGGAAATATTTCAGAGTACTATTTTTCTGGTGATAATTTATAGTTTCTATACTTTTATTTTTTAAATTGTGCCTATGGCTTTTTACATTTTGATCGGATCATTGCATCTTCCATATATTCATTCATACTGTACAATTCATTATATCCTCAAATTAATCAAAGCAAAGTAGTATCTAATCTACAAAGATGTTGGAGACTCACAAGAAAAACCATTTTAATCGCAGTCTGTAAACATCTGCCTCAGTTGACCCTGATATTCCACATCTGAATCCAATTACTCGTTTATCAGTTTGAAAATATTAATAGTTTAGTTCACAACAACAGTATTACTGCTGATCGATTGAACAGTTTTTAAAGAGAACGCAAAACGAGATCTGAGAGTAGAACGGCAAGCTATAATTTAGGAAGTAATTTAAATAAATTGCTACAAATTCAATAAATTTTGTCTAGCATTTGACGAGGACTCTAATCAACACCAACTGCATAATATTCGTTTAGTTGCATAATTAAGAAATATGTGAATAGGATATTTTAAATAAATACTAATAAATGTATAATATCTGACTGCTGATTGTACATTCCTCAATTTAGTAATAATTCTTGCAACTGTTTTATGGAGTGTTGTATAATATTCAAAAACAATCGTGCTGTGTTTAGGAATTCTATAACCCTCGAGTATTAATAAAAAATGCACTGAAAATTGTTTCAAATGATATTTATATGAGTTTTAGATACAGTTCATAAATTAGTCGCATCAATATCATCTAGCTCATTGAAGTACACTTCATCTAAATGTATCATATAAACGTTTTTCAGAGAGCTATCATTTCGATTAAATTTATTTAATTTCACGTTGCAATTCTCAAAAAGATGTTGTAAGTGCTGTAAAAATGTTGACGTTTAAGAAATTTTAATGCAATTGAGGCAATATTATATTGTTTATATATTTATATTTATTGTTTTTAGTTATTACTATATTATTATTAAATTAAATATTATCCGGCTTTTATTATTAACCTTATCACATGCATTTTTAAATTGTATTTTTTATTAACTTGTAGACATCAAACTAAAATTCTAAAAATAAATTAATTATTCTCATTAAATATAATTTCAGTGTCAAGTATGTGGACTTATCAATATTATTTGGATAGATTCTTTTTTATTTTAAATAATTACTAATAGTATTATTGACTAGCTTGTATGAGAAAATATTTATAATGGCATAATTTGAACAGGTTTAATACTTTTAAAGTAAAAAATAAACTCCCATTATGTATTTTCTCTAATTAAATATATTAAAAAAAAGAAGAATTAGGAAATCTGTAATTTTTATTAAACTAAAATACAGAATCGTAATTTTTAGCCAATAATAATATTTTATACAAATAAAAACTGTTTATCGACTGTTTTGTTTTCTTCAAGTGGTTTATTAAATATAGACGTACTATTAACCAGAACCAAACTTTTCTTGAATGGTATCCTTTTGCGAGGCTACTTCGCTTACATCTTTATTGCGCATTCTCAGTAACATTGATATAATTTCAATTTATTAATTACTATTAAAGTCAATATTGTTCTATAAATTTAAAAATATAAATTCTATAATTCTTTTAGTTTGTCACTTGGGGTTCGAATCTTAAATATTTCTAATATTGCTAGAATATCGCTATATTTAAGGTCATGACAAATAAGCCTTTTTTTGGTACTTGTGTCCAAAGTACATAAAGTCGAAAATCGATCTAGTAAAAATACTGAGAAATTCTTCATGACAATGTGTACTATGGGGTTGCTTATTATTTGGCGTATGTAACGTCACTACTAAAAAGGTCTATTGCGAACAGTGCTGCCAACTCTGGACAAACAAAATTCCCGCAGTTAAATGTGAAATTTCCCGTTCTGTTCTCATGATGCAAAGTCAAATTTCCCAAGAAAATACTCTAATTGTCGCCAAATTCCCATTTTCCCTTTTGATATCAAATTTCCCATGAATTGACAGCACTGCTTGTGAATTAATTTGGTTTTAACCGCCATCTAGTAGCTATTGCCTATTCTACACTTCTAGTTCCAAATTGTCAATATAGATTTTCTTTTTAAGTTCTAAATATTGATGTAAGAGCTCCTTTAACGATTTAAAATCATAAGTTTTCATACATTTTTAAGGTTTAAAGGCATCCTATTCTTCTATTCTTAAAGAATGGTCTAAGGAGCCGTAATTAAACAATTTTCCACTGTTAGTACATACATATGACTATAATTTCTGTCTTTCATTAATTCTCAAATCAAAAATAAAAAAAAGTCAATTGATAATGCCTTTTTGGACCAGCCTCTGGAAAAAAATGATGTCTTTATTTATGATGTGAGGTAGATAAGATGATTCCAATGTTAAATATAAACCCCTATTGCACCTTTCTAAACTTACCTATGTGCTTTGTGTTGATATGCTGACTTCTTTTATGGTGTTAGAAGGTACTGTTGAGTTTTATTTAATTTTTCGGAAATAGGGGTAATACCAATTTATTTTTTAAATTAATTGAAAAATTAAAGGATTGTAACACCTAATTAAAAGTTTATTTAAAACTGTTTGATCTTGCAGCTATATTTTCCATTTGTTGTACACGTTACTTCCACGAAAAAACAAAATTTCGAATTTCCAGGCAACGTATTTCGAAAAAAGTCTGTACAGAGGACATAGAAGAACACATCTGTCAAAAAGGTTTACTTAGTACACATAGAAATTCCTGACATTCTTAGAATTACCTTACCATTGCTGTGCCGACACTCCCACATATATCTGAGGTAAATAAATATGATAATTCCATAACGATAAAACCTTATTCAAACACATATCCCCTCTAATCTCGACAGAAAGCGGATGCAAGTCACATAACAAAGAACATCCCATCACGTGAAGAAAATCGTTCCTTTATTAGGTTTAAGAGTTCAATAGTTCAGTAAAATCCGACTGGTTAATTAATATTAACAACGCAACACCATGGTGGGTGCCTACCTACATTATTCGAAATGCTATCATCAAATTTCTGCCAGCGTTGCAGTAGGTGTGCCAAAGTGTGACAAATATGTTAAATAATTTAATGCAATTCGAAAATAACCGTATTAGCTGAATAAGAGCAGAGAAATTCAGTTCAACATATTTGCACGAACCCTAACACCCTGGTTTCAATATCGAACCACTTTTTATGTCTAAGGATTAATAAATCTTAGATATTTTTCAAAATACAGTTTGCATGACGTACATTAATTTAACATTTACCTCATAAAAATTGTCAATTTTTAAATATTTCATTTTCTAGTGGCAATTCGCCTGTTATAAATAATCGCATTTTCTAAATTTCCCAAATACCTACTTTTTCCGGTTTGCACTGAAGATATTTTTAAATGAAACAGTGGCGTTGGAAAAGGTTTGCGGTAATGCGGTATAATATATTTAGACCAAACACGAACTTTATAAAATAAGTTCCTTGATTGGGAAATATTTTGAATGATCTGTTCAATTAATGCATGGGGGTGGGAATCGGGATGTGCCTTCAGCAATCGCATTTCGAAAAGGTGGTCACCCGCTGAGCACCATCAGCACAAAACGGAGACAGGTGCCTGAACTAAAGCCAAGCTAAACGAGAAGAAGGGGCACCATACTATGCACCATACGACTACCTGTTCCCTCTCTACTATAATGCTGCTTTACGTTCTGAGAATCTAGCAAAGTGACTATACAGATACAGAATGAACTCACACGGTCTACGTGCGGTAGCCCATTTCGACAAAACATATTTATAAATAATAATGACCAAGTAGCCATCGGGAAAATGCCTGTTAGTGACTAAACTCGGTGTGTGATCACAAAAGTGCCTGGTTTGTGTCACCGTGTGCTAAGAGATGTGTTTTAGGATAACTTTATTCGGACCTCTAGCATGCACATGTCAATAGGTAAGAAAACATATTCAAATAATAGGATATATCCGTTATGCCTTAGAGAACCAACAACTGTGAAAATATGCGGGATATACATATGATACGTTGCTTTAAAAGTACAGTCAATATAAACAAACATTTCATCTAACCGTGTACCAGTCTGATTCAGTTGTTTATTGTAGCCTACGGTTTTTAAAATGATTTGATAACCAACGAGTTTCACATACTATAAAAATAACGCGGCAATATTATTATTATAAAACTGGATTAGATATATTTTTATATAGTAAGAGAGCGTGCTTTGTTATGAATAGGTACCTACCTACTTGATAAAAGAAAAATTTCTTAGTTTAAGATACCGCGTACCAAGTATCCACCTAACTGTCAAAAATCTTTTGTTTATGATCTGTAGCAGTAGCGTGCCTTGGATATTTTGCCAACTTTATGTTGACTTAATCTGAAAGTCACTGTTTTTTAAAATACTCCTATTGGATGTTTTGCCACGTCTTGAAAATGTACAAAGATGTGTTACTTGAAAAGGATCAGTTAGATCACAATTTATTATTTCAAAATCCCAGAAACGGATAAATGATAACGATCTGAAGATCACTTAAGGTGTAAACTTCAAATGTCTGGTGTTATCTAATTTACTCATCTTTGTTACTTGTAGAGTTATGTAAGGTGCCATTAAATGCCACAGGGTACATAGAACATGCAATTTATTGTTTAAATCTAAAATTCAATAAGATTGTGCTACAAATTAGGACCTAAAAATTACATAAAACTTATCTCTGTGGTCCTTGGATTTAAAGTACTATTTTAGTTCTTAATTTGGAAGGGTAAACTGTCACTTTTTAGCTTCCAGACTAAATTTACATTTAATCTCCCATTTTCAATACCTACTTAACCTAGTGCAAAAAATAGCGAAACATAAGTACCTTTCAATTAAAAGATGCATTTTAGTCCTTTTGATAGTCATTTCTTCACAGAATTAATCGTTTTATTTTATTAATCAGAAAAAATAATTACGTTTAACTATGTTTTTGTACTTTTTCTGGTCTTGGAAGAAGTTTTTAGTTGCCCGTCACATCCCACATGAATAGCAAACATTTAATATTTCTCTATATTTTCAAAGTATTAGAATCCTTAATCCTTAAATAAATATCATCCTCATAAATGCTAATAAAATCTAAATCATCAATTAAAAAAGATCCAATATTGACTGACATCAAATGAATTGTATAACGATATAATAATAAAAAGAGAAACATCAATCAAAACGAAATAAGCTTTTAAATCATACTGTTTTTAGTTATATCTAGCTACGGTGGCACTACATTTATTTTTCTACAGTACCTAATTATTTATTGTTGTTATTAAAAACGTGCTTTTTTAATCGTAATTTCCTAGAAGCATTCCCAAACATTACTAAATTGCCTGATTATAAGCAGGATGAACACCAAAATACAAATTTAAGTTTTCGGCTTTCATTTAAGTACGTGAGCTCGAATGTCAACATTTGACAGTCCTATTTTTAGCAAATGAGTCCCAGGAAACGACCTTTCTGTGTTAATGAATTTAAATTTCAAAGTCACTAGAGGATGTTTTAATTGGGATGTGCATATGAAACGCATAGGTAAAAATATAAATGAGAACAAACAGTTTAACATCCAAGGAACTTATGGCGCTTATCGTGGTTCTCATTGTGGATATGTTGTTTCGAAACCTATTATGGGGGAAACAATTGAACAAGTCAAAGAAATTTGTATGGATTTGACATTGCATTGTTTAAGGAGTGACTAATATGTCCAAAACCGTATTGTCTGAAGTGTTTCCCGGGATGCATTGTGTTTCGAAAGAGTTTTTACAAACAATATTTGTATTCATATACATATCTTCTTTAATAGGAGCAAGTAGGTGACAATGCATGGAACAATGACATGTCACAGAAATTTAGAACTCGAGTACGTGACTGATTTAAAAATTATTTAAATCGCTACTGAACTGATGGAATTTTATAATAAATATAAGTATTTTTTCAAGAACGGCTCTCGAGGCATCAACTTATATTTATCAGTTTAATGATAAGGTGTTAAACCATAATTCTTAGAAGATATCAAGTTACAGAATTGTAAATTGTAAACATGTATGATAATCAATGTAATCACATAATAAATAGCTCATTCTTTAGTAGCGACTTACAGCATTTTTATTCGGAACGGTTAATAATAAATACATATTATAATACGCACGGAGAAAAGTGTATCTTTTAATCGAGGGTTAGATTTGCATTAATCATCCGAAATATTTGAATAACTAAAATTACCAGTTATCAAGAGACCAATGCATTAAGGTGATTTGTGACATCTTATTACTCAAAAATAAAGATTACAATAACAGTTTCGATCAGGCAGTGCAAATATATATAATATTATACAGGGTGTGGCGTCATTTAATGTGACATTGTGATGTCAATCTAATCTAATCTAATCTAAAGAAACGGGCGGGAAGCCTCGAAGCAAAATGTATTTGGCTCTTTCTAGACTGCTGTTGGGCAGGCCGTACTGTTCCTGTCATTTATTTCTGGATGATCCATCGCACTAAATGACGTCACGAATTAGCGCGACAGCAAACACCCGTTTAAAACATAATAATTAATTATTTTGGTTATAACCTCTAAGAGATTTCTAATATTTCACTACGTGATTATATAAGATTGAAGATTATTTCTAGACTAGATTTAAAAACATATATGCAAATTGTCCATTAATTAACATTATCTATTTTAACTGTCAGATTACCTTGTCAATCATGATTAGCACATTCATTTATTAAATGTTCGCCTGTTTTTGTTAGAAGAATTAAAGGTACTTTTAAGCGCTGGGGGTGATGCTGTACTCCTTGAAATTAAGGACCAAAAAACAACATTTTTAACCCAGGGAATACTGCATTACTAAAAATTATGTATTGTTACAAAATATGTTACAACCCTCTGAACCATTTCAAAAACTTAGTCATGTCTACTAAACCATATCATAAGGAAACCCTTCGCGTTCGTTACTTTTATCATATTTCTATATTCTTTATGAAAATTGAGGAAGTACTACTAAGGTTCTGTTCCGGCTGGTTTTACCTCTTTAATGGCTGATTGCTGGTAAAAAGTAAAAAAATATTTGGGCCAGTAATTTAAATAATAAAATACATGGTTTCTTAGGTTTCATGAAAAAAATTGCTAATTTCTAAAAATTGTAGCGGGCTTACGATTTACAATTTTGTGTAAGTTATAGTATCTCTACACAAATACACTTATAAATCTGATTATCCTTACGTGTGTGTACTTTTGACATTCCATTTGTGCAGTTTTTTTGGTTGAGCAAAGGTGGCACCTCTACTTAAGAACTTAGAACAAATAGTAAAGTAAAAGCAGTTAGAGGATGAAAAATTTTGTCACATACATTTTTTTCGAGAGGGAAACCGTTGGCCAAAATTTGAACGCTAAAAACTCATAAAATACTTTATAAGGGGACAGAAATAATAATAATTTTGGAAATGAATACTACACTCGATGATTGTACCGTTGTTAGCGAAACCTTTGAGTAATGCATTAACGTATCGCGTAAAATGCGTGTTAAATGTTTTATAACATTAACATTTCTGCTTCATACAATCTGAGAGAACCCGTTTACATGCACGCCCTATATGAGTCAAATGAGTGCTTACAACGTTTTTCATTAAGTGTTGCGCAACACGAATTTTTTAATTAGCCTGTTAGTTTAACAAAAGCTCTTTATTATAATGACCACGGGAGTACCTACATTTTGTAATGAATGCACAAAACGGTTGTAAATGGACGATTTGTCTGGTACGCAGTAGAATTAAAAAAAGTTTACGACTAGTTTGCAGGATAGGAAATCGTAGCGACAGCTGACAGCTGGATTTTACCTAGGTTTTTACAATGGCGAAACACCGTAAATCTATTTAATTAAAGACATAAAATTATGATTTATTTGTCGCTTAATGAATGATACTTTTTACCATATTATAAATACTTTAATTTTAAAAAATATCGCGTAACTTTAAGCGACTCGCCATGTGGTGTCGAGTTGCAAGCAAATACTGTTACAAATTATGTGTGTTTCATATCCCATATCTATTTTTATCAACGGGACAAATAAATAAAATTATCTACCAGTCACAAAAGAAACCTTCAGGTCAAGCTTTTGAATTATGTAAACTGATCTATCTTTATCATTTCCTGCACCCACAACGTTCATCTTTGACTCCTATAAATCAGTACAAAAATTTTTTAATTCGTATTTATTAAGTCAGTAACAATCTGATAATATAATTAATTTAAGTAAATAAATCATATACCTAAATTGCTCAATACGTACAAACATGATAAATATTTAAATTAATATACCGATAAAATTTTATTGTGCAGTACCTAAATCAATCTTATCGCTTTTATCGCATTAGTAATAAATATATTAATCTCCCCATAATCCAGATTATGCGTAGTGCGATTAAGCCATTAAATTATTCTGATAAATTGAAAATAATCAAGCTCTAGATACGAAAATAGGTAGAAGTTAAAGGCTTAATCAGGGTAGTACCTATTGCCCTACATTTAGTTCATAAACGCTCAATATTCCGCTAAGTAATCTATCTTGGCAAGTTCCAGAACAGAAATTTTTCACATATATAATTCAGTACACTGTACGTTGCATCAGGTCCAAATTTACTCAGTTATTTTTAAACATAAATAACTATAGATTGGCGTAACCTGAAGGATTTTAGCACAGTATTTTTAACGTCACATTCCAGCACACTGTTAGTAAAAAAAATAGTTGAATAATTATCATTATAAAACGTTTTCAGAAAAGAAGAAACTGATAAGAATATATACATTTTGTCTAGTTCTGTATGTAAGGAAATGTAAATATACTGACCTAAACAATATGTGTACAGATAATAAAACCGAATAAAACGAATATTTAAACAGCCACATCTCATTCTTAAACTAATTGTAAGAGTACTTAAAAGGCCAAAAATAAGTTACAAAATGTGAACAACCGACCCAACTAATAATTACATATTTAAAAGACCTAGAGAAAAGTATCTCTACTGTTGTAACTTCGGATTCGCTGTTTGTGTACGAATAGTCGACATTTGGATGAATATGTTTTCTTTATCTCTCCTTGCAAATAATCAGCCTCTATGCTCTGTTTCAAAATGGTACCTACGGAGTAATATATCACATAATCTCTAACGCTGTCAACTTAGAGCAAAGTTGAGAAATTTGATGTCGAATAACTCGCTGAAGAGCAATTTGAATTATTTTTTTGAAATCATTGACGGTAGAACGAAAATTTCATTTTAATTTTTTAAACCGAATACGGAGAGGTGGAGTTTTTAAAATCAGACATTGTTAGAATACTTTTCTATGAGGAATTCAAATATGTAATCGTATGTTAGCCATGGTGCAGGACGGAAAAGCGGAATGCAACTTTTCTTTTTTAAGGGCGCCAACTATTCCTGTAAACGAAAGTTCAGTAAAGTTTTCATTAGTACTATCAAAGTTCAAATAATTCAAAAGCAATCAATTCACACCGAACTCACAAATAATCTAAGTGTGGAACCGAACTACCTTGTTTAAACCTACTATAAAAATTAACACTTTAAACCTAGATACTGTAATCTGGAAATGTATTTAAATTCAAATGCAATGTAGAACCAATGTTCCACTATTTTAGATTGGTATAAAAAGGAAATACGGCTTAACCTTAATGAATTTAAAGACAAAGTCTTTGGCTTTGCCTTGAATTATAACAAGGAATTTTTTTCTAGTAACAAATAACTTCGTTGGATTTTAACCTTTGACAGTAATATGTAATTACAAAAATATTTTTTTTATTTAATAGAAATCATATATTCTCGTTTCTTTCTAAAAAGTATTGAAAAAAGGAAAAACAGATCCTTAAGGATTTACTTAATTACCTTTGGCACCTTAGTCTTAGGTAATCCAAAACACCTTGTATAAAACGTAGGTACACAGAACACGCTTCAGATTCTTAACTACATGTACTTTAGTGATTTTTCTTAGATTATCTGCAAAGTAAATAATCAGAACGTTTATTTTATATGGTCTAATACTACTGTTCACCATGTAGGTAAGTAATTGTGACTAATAAAAGACAAACTAGTTCCAGTAATTATAACTGATAGGAAACCAAACGGGTTGTGATGATGAGCCACTAGATAGAAGTGCTCACATCTCGAGGAGAAAGCTGCTTCCAACGGATGTCATGCAAAGGAAAAAAGAAAACTCGATATTTTACAGGACCAGTATAAAATCATAGTGAAAAGAGAGGCGAAAATCTTGTTTTCAAAAGGTCAACGTTTCACAAAATTTGTTTACTACCTAAAAACATGAAGCTGTCAAAAAATAATGTAGTGTGTAAAATGAGAAAAAATTATTGTTATGAACAAACTCTCTAAAATGAGTTGTAAAGTAATTGAGTCAATTAATTTAGAACAAAATATACCATATTGGTATTCATCCTTACTTACAATTGCATAGTGTTGGAATAAAATTGATACACAAAAGAGGTTGTTTTGGCGGAGTGTTATTCATTGTAACTTATTTATTTCTTCCTCTTTTTTAAATTTTGTTTCAAAATTCCAATATTTTTGACAGGTTCTATCATAGAAGCAAATAAACAAACAAAAACTGACACATTTATTTAAATAGTCAGTTTTTAAACAGAAAATGATTAATTTAATGAATAATTAATAAATGATTAGGTGAAATGATGCGTATTTCCTGTTTATTTTTTTTTTTGGCGTAATAATTTTGATTAGGCAAAAATAATTTTACATTTCGTTTAATTTTCTAACCATTAAATTTAGCTTCCGTCCTCTCTCTACTAGTGTTTCTGAATTAAATATTAATACACAAGGAATGAATAAGTACTACGTTTAAAAAAAAGTAGTTACTGACCCTTGCTTGGAAACAGTTTTCACAATCTATGCGGAAGATTAAAAGTAAATAGACTTAGCGGGGGAATATTACAAAAAGGCACATAGGCGTAGGACTATAAATACCTGATTTAATATGTCATATTTTAAATTGACTTGTTTTCGCATTTTTTGTAGATTCGTTCACCTACATAATTTAATTCCGTTACCGAATTTGATAGGACACACTTTACTTTTATGTTTTATGTGAAGTGATTAAAAATATAGACCATTTTATTGCTGACGCCGGTCTGACTTGGCACGATTTCAACAATAAAATTACGGCTTTTTGAAGTACTGGTTTAACAATAAAAACTTGATAACAATAGCTTTATGAATTAACGCTAGAAAACTGTAAACTTTGGAAAAATACAGGTGTTTCCTGCTGGTTAACACTAAATTTGTTAAATTATGAAAGGAAGTTAATACCTAACCTTTTTTTAAACAAACGTTTTTATAATTACATTTAAATTTTATCTATTTTTGTTTTGATAGTTGAACCTACAAACAAAACGTTAGGAAATCCGGAAAAAATACAAAAACTGTTGACTTTATAATTAATTCTTTAAGGGAAGAACAATCCTTGTTACAAATCACGTACATGGAGCTCTAAGGAATGAGCTCCGCATTACTGGTCACAATGCAAAACCTTGTAGCATTACCGCAGAGTACGACAGAAAATTTGTGTTTCTTTGTCAAGACATCGTCATTTTATTAATTTAAGAAAACTATATTTTACTTCTTTCATCTGGTTCAATGTTCACAGTCAACAGGCATCCATATTCATGGAATAATTCGATACATATATTTCATCGTTCATTAAAATAATCGCGGTCTTTTAAAACTTTCTTTTAACAGCATCATTTTCCTTTCCGCCGAAATTATGACTGTTTTCCCAAGCGTGTTTGCAAAACATTTTTGAGAAAATACCCAAATAAATAGAGACAAAAATTAAAACTATGCCACAAATATGTAACTTCAGACAATGTATGCCACCATTGATAAGAAACGATTTACATTTGTTAAAAATATAAATTATTGCAGATAAAAATACGATTTAGGAGCTCGTCCATTAAAAAATGAATTTTATGAATCGACATTTTTCTCTCTCCCTTTTGTTTCGTTCGTGTTCTCTAGAATACCTTTTATTGTATATAGGAGAATAATTCCGGAAGTCCCTAATTACTTTAACGTTAAACAGGAAATGACTGAATTTCTATCCAGTTCAAAGGTCATATTTTCGGTACTTCCGGAACTCAGGCGCATCGCAACCTCCGGCACTGTGCCTGCATCTCAGCGACCCTCGCCGTGGATTAGGGTAGAAATCTCAATGTCGACGCCGGCGCCTTGCGTCCTTTAGAAATCTGACTTCGTCTTCCCTTAGTAGTTGGAAGGCGACGATATGCCGGAATTTTTTACACCCCGAACGAATTCAATGATTGTAGAGATATAAAGCAGCCACCTTTGCCTACATCAAGTAACGTAACATGGAGTATTGTTGAACGGTTTTTAAAGCGACCATTGTGACCTATATTATTCGGCTGAATTTTATATTAAATGTTTCGTTCTAGTGTTGGATTTGTTGAGTGTTTATTTTTGTTTTCCAAAGTGCGTGGACTTGACACATATGTAACATTTATAAAGGTTCAGGAGTTGGTCAGATTACTATCAAAATGTTCTCCTGCCTGTGGCAGCTGTGGGGATGGTATTTTTTTTCATACCTATATATATAGTAAATAAAGATATACAACAAATATACTTCATTTCAGAATACATTATTTTACATTTTCTAATTTCTCATTTAGGTATAATAATTGAAATATGCAATTATATTTTTAATAAGTACAAAAATATATCACATTTAAATTATGTGTAGGTACTTAGTTTTATCATAATTTAAGACATGCACCTTTTATCTAAATGCATGGCATGTTTTATTTTTTATATCAGTAAATAAAGCTACATTGAAAATTGTTTATAAAAGAGACACCATATAATTAAATTTTTAACAACCCAATACGGTTCTTTTATATTTTTTGATAAATGCATTTCTATTTGTACCGAGTACTTATAAATATTCAATATTTTATGTATTCAAAAATTGTTGTACATGATTTTCTATTACGTATTAAAACAATCCCGCATCTGAAGAACGTATTAACTTTGCTTTATTTTTACAAATACGAAAAATTCGAAAATAAAATAAGTTTTTGTTCTGTAGCTGGCATATTGGCAGAATTTAAAACTTGTTATTTATATTTAGCGTCTGTGGTAAGAAATCTTCAAGGAGAAATATATTATTTACCGCTGATGGATACTTGTATCGATTTTATTAGAAAATCGTGTCCGAGAAGCTGGACTTGTTGAGTGTAATACAATTAGGGACGTTTTGTCTTTATTATCTGTAATATTTTGCCAACATATTTCAGATTGTAGGTCAAGTATGTCTAAAGAAAAACTTGTTAGGTTGCCAACTGTCCCAAAATTGTCGAGCTGTTAAATTGAATCAATTTCAAGTTAGGAGACTATGAAATTAGCTCGATATTATCTTCTCTTGTAAATTCTTCAACCAGATACTGATGCAGAATATTGCAACTATATACGTACATTTCTTAGTTATTTTTTTCACTAGTACTACAATTAAAAAGTAAACTTTTTATTTATTGATATAAAGATTCTGAATACTAAATTTGTGTGTAACAATACCGGCATCAATAGAACATTTAACAAGAATATACCTATTGCCATATATTCTTAATAAATTGTACGGCACATATTCTTATTCTATTTATCTATAGATTATCACCGTAACTATACCGGGTATGCATCTGCAATAAGGTGTCAGAGGTAGACTTTTCATTTGTTTAAAGTTTTGTTATCTTTAATTTTTCGTTCTAGGATCGATCCCACCAGCATGGAAAACAAGAAAGGGGCCTTTCAAAACCAAAACACCACGAACTCAGCTCCGCCAGTGGAAATTCCAAACAACGAATCAATACCAAAGCACGCACACCAACACAATAATGCACCACAACACTTGCGTTTCCTCCAATATGGCCTAAAAATTCCCAATCACCAACACACCCAACTCACCCCCTCCCATACGCACCAACAGCTAAACTCGTCCCTTCACATGCACGTTCACCAACATAACCCTCAATATCAAACAACTCATCGTCACTTGCAACCATCACCTCAGTTTAATAGCATGAATATCCAACAGAACCCTCAGTTTCCCCAACAGACCCTCAAATATATGCACCAACACCAGAAACCAAGCAATATACATCAGAATCAACCATTGTATCAAGCTACTCAACCTCCTCCATCCTCAGTCCACGCTCATAATCAAATGGCTCAGAATACTCCTCAAATTTGGGTACCTCATCAACCTCCACTTATTCACTATCATCAGCAGCAAACTCAGAAGGCAGAAGCTCAGAAACCTCATACGCCAACAAGCTCTCAAACCCAAAGTAAGCCAAAGGAAGTGCCAGAAAGGAAAAAATCCAGTGGGGGCAGTTCTCACTTACGGTCACCTTCTGCGAAACGACCTTTGGAGGCGCCCGTTACTATGCAAGGATGGTTACATAAGCAAGGGTCTGAAGGGCTTATGTTGTGGAAAAAACGTTGGTTTGTACTCTCTGAGTACTGCTTGTTTTATTATAAAGGTATGTTTATTCTTTCGACAATGTAATATTAATTTTTATTCGCAACAATTTTTATAAGAGATCTTTAAAAAATCTAATAAAAGGGTTCTTTCGTTAAGAGATATTAAGTGTTTCCGAGAAAAAACGCAACCTATGTTTTTGTAATACCTAAATATTAAGAATGTGCGAAAAATAGTATAATTGAAAACAAAATTTGCAAAATATTTAAAGAAATAACTTTGAGAATATATAACCCACTTAATAATGAGTTTCCGAAAAAACATCATAGCAATTTGTGCTATTTTTATGAGTAAAATATTAAATCTCTAAATTTGTTGCTTTTAGTTTTCGGACATTCTGTGTATAGCAAAAATGTAGGTATATAATTTGTTATTGTATAATATCAATTCGTTATTTAAAATATGTTTACGTTTTTTATTTTTAAAACAATTTCACAAAACAAACTGTCATTCATTAAATGGTCAAAATTGTAACTATTTCCTTACACGCAATAAGTAAACCTTTTGAAGGTTTCAGGCCTTACGTTGTCTAATACTGGAGTTATTAACCTTTTTCCGAGCCTTTTTCTCTGTGGATGATCAATTGTACCGAGTTTTACGTAAATTAACTCATTTCAGAAACAAATGGAGATATTCACATATTATTCCTACAAACCATTACATTTTTACACCGAAAGTTGAATAAATAAAGAGCTACCTACCGTTGTTTGTATGTTACTGAATTCAGAACGTTATGTTGTAAAAGAATCTGGCCGAAATTACTACTATTGAAAAAAAATCAGTTGACGCCATCACGCGCAATCAATTGGACATGGAGAAAGGAAATATCATGAAACTTCATCATTTTGGAAATAATTAGTTTATTCCATACTTTTTCCATTGTAGTATATTCAAAGGCTTTTTCATTGAATGCTTTCGGTTCAAAACAGCCTTTTAAAGCCTCAGTGAATATATTATACCTAAAAGGACATTTAATTGCAGTAATTTTTAATTGTTTTAAATAATTTTACTTAAGTATGTACTTTCTACATTTTAACAATAAACTAATATTTTACGAGAAGCAGTAGTTAGGCAGATAACCCTTTCAGCTAAATTTAAATAACTAGGCAGTTATTTATTTATATGTAGGTCATACATTTTTTACGCCGTATGGGTACATTCCAAGACTAACCTGAATAACTAACAACAGTGTAGGCATTGGATAACCTAGATGAAAAAATAAAAAAATCAAAATTAATCTTGAGTTTACAATTTCCAAGATTAAATAGTTATTAATAAAAAAACCTAGAAAATATTTTATAAAATTGAATAATTCATCTAAATGCTGATCATTTTGATAGGTAACTAAATAATAAATATATAGGGTGCCCCTACTTATATTAAACGTAGTAAACAAAAACAAATGAAATTCAAATCTTTTATTAAAAGATCCCTAAGAACTCTACGCCTGCTATGATTTTTTTAAGTTCTAATTTCGGAAACACGGTATTAACCATATAACCATTTATTTCAATTATTTAATTTTTTTATTTGCTTAATTTTGTTCTGAATTAATGCCGATAAAAAAAGTCAGTAGTTTTATACTTTTTTACGAACAAAATGCGTTTTTTCTTGCACAATTGATAGTAGTAGGCCAGCCAAGCCAAGGGTGTAGAATAGCATCGTGTCGTTAAGATGTCGAATTAAAAAATTATTAATATACAAATTTTTCAAAAATTAACACCCAAATAATCGTAGCAAGCTTATTACTTTCTAAGAAGTTGTAATTTCCACATATCTGCATTCTTAGGATTTATTTAATAAAAAAATATTTGAGTTTCAGTTGTCATACATATACTGGCCTGTATACCTTTATCAATCAGGACACTCTGTATATTATTAGGTAATAATATTAGTAGAAAAAGTATTACAGCTTAAGTTATATTTAATAAAATATGTTATGGCTGCCTTGAATAGAAGGTGTGCATATCTACAAATGAGAATTGGGACCTACTGTTCTTTTTTCACTATGCACTATAAAATGATATATTGATCCAAAAATGGCCTCGCATATCTCATACTTAACTGTTTAAATGCACACTAGTCCATCTTAATCATATTTTGTTTATTGATATCAATTTTTTGAATGGAATATGAATGGAAATTGGAATAATAAAAAACATATTTTTAAATGCTCGTAACCTTTTAAGCGAGGGGAATCCGTGAAACCAAAATTTATACACTGAAATACTCATCGTACGTGTGACATAAACAATTGTTTTAACTTAAATATTACCGAAAACGCAAATAATAATAGTACTCTTTACTCAAATTTTATTACTCCTGCGGCTTCCTCGCAAAATTCTTTGCATGTGGTGTGAAGGTATGAACTTTACATTATTTTTTCGTAGTTTCGTTAGTAGAGCAGAGCAGAGCATATTAAAACATTCTCTGGGCGATTGGTAATAAAAATCTAAACTGAAAGACAGTTCAAGATGAGAAGACTGTCTTGTATCCTTTCAAAATTTCTGAAACCAGGGTTTTTTTATTGATGATTTTTGGTCTTAGTGAATATTGGTATTCAGACTATGACCACCCTGTACATTCCCGGCATTTATGATATGAAGCAACTACGCCTCTGGACGTATACGTTTCTGCTGTTACCTGGCTGTTTGAGTTTTGGCGAATCCGAGATTCAAGGAAACGCGAGAAAGGTAGTTTTGATGACATAAGCGCAGCCATAAATCCTATTTGTTTATGGAATCAAATCGCCTCGATCACGCACGGGGTTCCTCTAGGCCTTATTTAGAATGTATGCGTTATTTATTGTTGGCGTGTAGATGTATACCTGCAAACAACGATTGTAACCAACGCGCAATGAATTATAAAATGAAGCACGATCGAGTCCTTATTAAATAAGGAAGCAATAATTATACATTCATATTCATATTTACATACAAAAAGTTGTTTGGCTATACTTCTTTTTAACATGAACAAACTCGAAACCAAGATTTTGAGTTTTTGTAACAAAATTAAGTGAAAATTTAAACTCTAAGCTTACCTTTTATAATCCTGATTTGCTATTGAAGAAAAGTCACTAACACACACTCGCACGCACCCACGCACGCACTGTACTTTTTATTTGTATAACACTAACATTTTAAAATTCGAAAAATTTGACATCTTCTGCCATTTATTTTGAAAGTTCAACAACTGTCGTTTGTTTTTGATTTAGTAATAGGGGTTTACTCACTCACTCCAAGTGATCAGCTCAGATTACTATCTACCCTTATTATCCTGATGAATTTAAAATTGGATAATAATAAAGGATAATTTTTTTAAATCGCTAGGAGATTTTTTATCCTGTTATGTATGTCTCCGAGTTTTTTCAATTTGAGAAAACTTGAGCTTAGCAGCTATAAGTAACTCAGAGTTACTCTAGCAATTAAACAATTTACTACCATTTTTGTCAAAACGAAAATGACTGGTTGATTTTTAATCATTTTTATTTTCTAAAATTTAACTTGGAAATTTTCCGAGCAAAATACTTAAATTTTGTATAAAACTTCAGTAAATGCTAAACATCCTTGAAATTGGTAAGAATGAATTATTTACTTAAACCAAAGTCTAACCTGAATTTCATGCTAATTATTTTTTTATCTTCTACCGCAGATTCATTGACTTTTAATTAATATTAAATGCTATATTTTAATTTAGAATTCCAGTAATTATCAATAATAATTGTTATAGGATTGGAAGAGGAAAAATTGCTGGGTTCAATTTTGCTTCCATCTTACAAAGTGTCAATTTGCCGGCCAGAAGACAAAGTCAATAGAAAATATGCCTTCAAGTGCGAACATGCCAATATGAGAACTTATATATTGGCAGCGGATTCCCAAGAGCTGATGATGCAGTGGGTTCGTGTCCTCAATCTCGCCTGCATGTTACAAACCAACACGTATGTCACTATTTTAAACATAATAGATGTATGTAACAACTTATTATTTTTATAGTGAAAATGAGAAACCTGCAGTCATAGACACACCAACCCAAACTAAACCTGTGGAGAATCCTGAGCCCCAAAAACAGAATTTAAGGAGTACTCCCATACACACTCATTCATCTAGTAGTACTACAGATTTAAGCAATCCTAGCCAAATAGAACGAAATCAGTTCAATCAACCATTATATGCCAATGCTCCTCCAAAACCAAGACGATTAAATGATGGCTTCTCGTCTCCTAGCCCAGATGTTTTGGATAGGTACCCCAATCCCCAATATATAGAAACGATACATAATAGGAGCCTTGCTAAATCACCCATTAGTATATACAGTCAGCAAATAGTAAATCCACAAATGGCGCAACCTGAGTATTACTCTCATAACCGTCCAAAAGACAATTCTCGTGAATACATGTTCACTCCAACTGGTGAACCTCATAATACAATTCCAAATACTGAAAGAAGAACACCAGATACTTACGGTAGATCTAAGTTGCACCCAACTAAATTCCGTCACCCTACTGATTACGAAGATATTTATAACGATCAAAGTATGTACAAACGCCCTTTGAGCCCTATAGCGTACACGCATGTAGTAAAAAAGAACAATCCCCCGTTAAACCCTGCTTACAGGGCCTACACTCCAGTGAATATGTTAGGCCCTGCAGATGTTGTACAGTATGCTCCTCCGCAAATGAGAAAATCGCCTAGCTGCATAGCAAGACCTCATAGTGCTGACTTTCTTGAATATGAAATCAGTCATCGCCAACCGAACGCTGCTGTGTTGACAAGACAGCAGCCCAGGCCTAAGTCTAGCTTAGATATTAATAGGAATCTTAATGACAGTGATAATTATTTTTACTCGGAAGAGCGATATGCTGAGAAAATGAGGAAGTCTGCACAGTACTTACATAAAATGCCTCCTCGCTTTACCGGTCCTGCTGAGCCGAGTCATCAAAAGGTCCTACCTGTAATGCGATATCCTGAGAACGACAACACATTTCCCCTTATGCGATCTAACACTCAACCGATCAATTTCAGTACATTACATATTAGAGAACCTCCGCCTGACCCACAGCCAGTTCGAAGTAGGAGCGTATTAAGTGAGGGCTCGTTGTCAAAAGAAATTGATATGGATTTCTGTGGGAGCTCCAGAAATATCACGGAAAGAGGGTCTGTTAGTCCAGGATACTCGATGAGAGATATGTACAATTATAATAATAATATTAAGAATAGAGAATACGATCAGTTCACGAGATCTGCTAGTGCCAGACTAGCGCAAACAACACCGCAGAATGAGAGACCGCAAGATAGGAGACATATGACAAGAGAAGGAGAAAGGAAGGTAGGTCTGTCTAAAAAGTACACTGTAGCTTTAGTGATTTTTTTTTGGCAAACTAATATTTTATTTCTCAATTCATATTTTGATGTTAATATTTAATAGTTTACTTCATTTTTTATTATTGATAGATTTCATATTCATAGATTTCTTTAATAACTATTAAATGGATAATTTCTCATTACAATTCATAAAATAAATAATAAAATATATGTATGGAATTCCTGAATTTGAAGAAGCTTTGGCGACAATGCCTCATATTCATATGCATTGGAATGACTTGTATGCAAGTGAAGTCTCATATAATTTTTCTCTGAGTCTAATTACAGAGTATTCATTTAAATGAAAAATATCCTAAACGTACTTCTGGTACTCTGTTCAAAACTGATTTTTTTTCAACTGGTCTGTTGTAAATTGCTCTTCTAAATAATTCTTATGGGTTCAGAGAGAAGAATCGATGAGGAGATTGTTGGAGTGGAAACAAAGAATGTTGCAGTCCCCTCTAAACAGAAAAACTCAAGGTAATCGGGCCTACTCTAGTAGATGTGATAACTACCATATAAACCCCGAAAATGGCTATCCTGTGCATAATCATCTGAAACATGGTGAGCCCCACCTAGATGATAGACGGTCTATCACCAATATGCCTCAGTATAATAGTTATTCCTCAGACGATGAAGGTAGGGTTTTCCTTGTAACATATGTGTTATGTCATTTCATGGCAACAAAACTGACATTTCCATACAGTAATAATACTCTTGTTATGCAAATTTAAATATTCAAATAATATATTGTTTTTCAATATATTTTTCATTTTAATAACACTCTATATCACTAGTAAAGTTAGAATGTGTTCAGTTTTGTTGGCAAGTCGCTAATTTTGTTTTAGTATGAATGTTAGTATGTGAAAAATTAGGTATCTGAGAGTAAGGCTTTTGTCGATGATGTTTTCTGTGTATTATTATTCTCAGGGACTTAATTGAAGTTAGTAGTAATAGTACATTGGTGACAGGTGTTGGGGTAGTCTACATTGGTCCTTCCTGCCTGGAGAAACTTGGGTCTCAGACATTCTGTAACTAACACTTCCGGTTCGTAACTACTTAACTTTCATATTTCTACTAACAGATTAACTAATTTGGAAAGAGGCCTTTCTGATGTAAAATTTGTAAAATTTTTTATGGTTGGTTCAGAAAATGAGGAGAGAAGCAAGGAAAGTGTGCACTCCCAGGCAGGACGGACCTTGGACACATTTCCGAATAATTCCGAGTCACCTACACCTGCACATACCACTTCTACCACTGTATTTAATACCTTCAAGGAACCTGATAAGCCATTAATGCACTCTGACTTTATGCATGACACACCTTACACAAATATCTTCCAACTGCCTGAGGATGAACCTTGCAAAGATTCTGAAGATAGCACATTCACCAAACCTCTTAAACAGTTTAACAAAGAGTCTTCCAATCTTGCACATGTCTCTAGCTTAAAATCTGAGTACTTCGATAAGTTTGAACAGAGCCCTATTATTACCGAAATCAAAAGTAATGGTGCACTTGTCAAATCCATCTTAGCCGAATTTGAGACAAAGACAGAAGAAGCCAACGAGGACACAACTGAAGAAAAATCTGATGATGCAATCGACATAGACTCGGTAATAGAAGAAAACTATATGACGATGACCCCAAAGAAGAGTGTTTTAGGTCCTAGAAGTAGTACCAACAGCGATGCCACTGTCATATTTAATGATTTAGAAACGGACGAAAATCACTATGTGGAAATGACTCAAAATGCAGATGCTTCCCTTTTAGGATCTACTTTGGCTAATAATGACTTAATAGAGCAACAACCTTATGAGATGGTGTGTTTTAATGAGGGAAGACTAGAACCTGTTTATATGGAACTCAAAACGCCTGATCAGAAAACTGATAAAGACTGTAAAGGTTTACCTGATATTTTAATGGCATCGAAAAGTAAAAAGGCTGGTGCTAGCAAATCAGACAGTTCGGATGCTGACGATGAAGCTTCAAAAGATTTGAACTCTTTAGATACACCAAACCAACCTAGGTTTAGCTTGTCCGATACATTTAGACCTGCTTCTTATTATCTTGGAATTAGTAGAACCGCTCCAGAATTCCAGGACAGTTCTGACAGTGAATTAGTATCCCCTCCTCCCATACCATCTTCACCTCCTCCACTAGACGACCTAGAAAACATACAAGATTTTAACTTTACGGTTCAGGATAAATCGAAGAAGGATGAATCGTATCGTTATAATTTACTGGCTAGGTTACAGGTTAATAGAAACTCGGATCAGTTCTTCAACAGCGCTAACAAGAATTCAAAATGTGCTACTAAATTTGGAAAAGGTAGTACGCAGTCGTTGGATGTTAAAAAAGAAAGTTTCTTTTCAAACAATAAAAGTGATGTTTCCTCTGTATGTAGTGCAAATATAGACACTGAACTTCGATATGACAGTAGATTGTCACATAACAGCGACTCAGATGTAGAAATTCGTATAGCAAGATTAGTAGACTATGAAAACATGTTGAAAAGACGACCAGTGTCTGAAGAATTTTGCAACGAATTAGAATCTCTGGATGGTACATTCAGTAATGATAATTTAAATGATTTGCTAGTCAGTAATACTAGCTTAGCAAGCAATGAAGAAAGTGTTTCTCATATAGAGTATCATGATTACGAAAATTTCTTCATTTCAAGTTACCCAAAGGGTAAATCAGTAATTCCTGTTGCTAAAACTCCTCGTCCTGCAATGGCTAGTCCTGTTATATCGCAAAGTGCCATAAAAGAAACAAACGATATACAAGCCAATGCTGAATTTCTACAAATAGGTCGATCAGAGAGCAGTGCTTCTACTTCTGCGGAAATAAGCAGCCTACTGCACAATTCTAATTGTTCTACTCCTGTCGTAGAGCAAGATGTAATGTCCACCTCATCTTTATACATGTCAGATCGAAGGGACAAATCAGCAAATTCGTCCTTCAGCCAATCTGCTGCGCCATACTACTACTCTGATTTGTCCGTCAATACAACAAATACAGAAAGCGGCTCAATGTTAACACTTAACAATCAAAGAGGTGCAATGAATGGCAGCAAACGTGATATTACTCGAATAATGAACCCTATAAAATGTAATAGTCATATAAGAAATTCATCGAATGCTAGTATTGAATGCGATATGGAAAAAGATACTTTTAAGTTAGCTGCAGAAGCTAGATCTGTATCTGTGGATTTCCTAAATTTAACGGATAAATCTGGTAGTATTGACAAAAAAAATATATATGAATCGGACACACTGAAAAGACAAAAGATTTCTGATTTGGCAACACCAGAAACTAGAAATCTGTATCCGATGAGGAAAAATGATAAATTTAACACAGAAGATGATACATCAGTGCGTAGGTCACATTCTTTAGAAGGATTGCTTGAAAATGTCCTAAGCGAAACTATAGATAATGATGTTGTGGCAGAGAGTGAATCGGAGAACATCGAAAGGCATCAAGTCACATCAGAAGGTAGTTATTTGTGGGAAGAGGATTCGATATGGAGAGAAAGGTTAAGGTCAGCCAGTCAAAGACATACAAAGTCAATGGAAGACTTGGATAGCATAGGAGAGGTGAAGAAGAAACAAAAAAAGTCATCTAGAGGTATAAGTCGAGACGTGACTTACGTAAATGACAATTTTTTCAAGCAAGATAAGCATCAAAAAGAACAGGAAAACAAAGAAACGAAGAGTAGTAAGAATGAGATTAAAAAAGAGGGTAGTTTTATAATTGATAGGGAAAAGCTGAGACAGTGGGATTTGCTATCAAGTGCACCATCCGATGATCAATTATCCACAACAACGGCTGTACAGGTACAAGAAGGTAATAACTTGGTGGTAGAATTAGGTGAGGGGAATTGTGATCCAACTGAAAATAGCAACACACAAGAAGCAGGTACATATCACTTTTTTCCTAGGGTTTTGTAAAATACTGTAAATAATGTACAATGTGTATGATGTTTGCCTCTATACTGTCACTTTTAAAATTGAATTATGTTTATAGCAGAGATTTGTCACACCTAAAATACAGTTTGGTGCATTAATAATCAGGATTTGTTTTGAGACACATGATAATAATGATATCTATTTTTTATATACAGGGTGTTTCAGAAAGACCTCCTGTAAATACAGGGGGTGATAGTAAGACAAAAAATAAGAATTTTTTGTCTTATAAACTATATGTCTATCTCCTCTTGTTTTCGAGATACAGAGCGACAAAATAAAATTTTTTAAATAGAATTTTTACAAAAATTTCCAAGCTTTGCAAAATATTTTTATGAAATTTAATATTCCGGGGTTTTTAGGGATGCCAAATATGCTGGTCTAATTATTTTTTTGATATTTCATAGAACTTGATATTACAAAAATTACTCAAAATTTAACGATCTTTCAGATTGACTGTATTTCCATGTTACAAGGAACAAAAAATTTTTTAGTATCGCCACGCCATCTACAGAAAGATTTGAACTAACAATTCTAACTACAATTTGAAGCTATTCGAGGGATCTAACAACCACAATTTTCGAAACTAAAATAAATTTCCTCATTTCGGAGATATGGCAGCGGAAGAGTTAAATGGCACACTGTATATAAAACAAATTTATTTGAATCGTACATTCAAAAAGTTAAGTGTACTGGTTTTTAATGGAGCAGACTGTCTATTAGGGTGGCCCAAAAAAAACAAACATTTTTTTTGTCTTGTGAAAATATGTTAAAAATTGAATAATTTTTTAAATTTTTTTTCGTTATTTTATCATTTTCTAGGTTGAAAAAAATCTCGATTCTGAAAATTTCAAATCGATATTTTAATTTCTAAAGGTCACTCATAATTATTTTAACTTTCAAAGTAGTGTACCTGTTTCCGAGCGACCTGTAAAAATAAATATCAACGAACTAATATATTTTTTTTATTGAATTTGATGAACAAAAGAATAGAAATAAATTACGACACTTAAATTTTAAAAAATTATAAAATTATAAATATTTGATACTCGCAGTGCGGTCATAAAATTTCCCTCGAGAAATTTTTTAAGTGTCTCGTGATTTATTTCTATTATTTTGTCCATCAAATTCAATAAAAAAAATTATTAGTTCTTTGATATTTATTTTTAGAGGTCACTCGAAAACATTTTAGGTACACTACATTTAAAGTTAAAATAATGAGTGACCATTAGAAATTAAAATATCGATTTGAAATTTTCAGAATCGAGATTTTTTTTCAACCTAGAAAATCATAAAATAACGAGAAAAAAATAATAAAAAAAAATTGTTGACGATTTTGGAAATTTTTAAAAATCTTGAGCGACCTCTAAAAAAATTTTTTTCCAGCTGATTTTATAAGGGGGCTCTTAAAACATGATAAACTAACATATTTTCACAAGAGACACAAAAAAAAATATTCGTTTTTTTTTTAGCCACCCTACTGTGTATATTAAGTTGTCAGTGATTGGAGGATAAACAATATGTGTTATTAATCACTCTAATTTAAAAGTGTTGGGAAAAGATTTTATTTATTTGCAATTTACTGTTTTATGTAAATATGGTTTTATTAAAACATAGGTTCAACAGAAATCGGAGTGACTCCAAAGAAATGTACAAAAATTCATAATTACTTTTTAAATGATGCAAAAATTGTCTTTTATATAAAAGAATAAATTTTTGTTTCTCTTTATAGACTTAACCGAGTTAAAATACTGCGAATTTTTATTTTTATGGCAACTTTTTTCTTCAGCGGTTAATTGTTATTTTCCATTATAAATCAAAAACCACTAAAATATTATTTTATGCCTGTTCATTTAATTACACAATTTAAATCACAGCCTCAGGTTCGATATCGATAAACCCTCGAGATGTATCTCAATTGAACATGAGAGACACATTTCCAAGATCGATGTCTACTAAAAAAGTATGGCCATCGAATCAGCCACCTATGGAATCAAAATCTGTCACCAATTTAAGCAGAAATAATGAAATAGAGCAGTTTGGGTAAGTGGCACTGGCAATTTTTCAAACGTTTTGCTATTTTCTTGTTTTACTTCTAGTCCCTCGAATCCTCAGAATTACTACCCAGGACAGCATGATATACCCCCTGAAGTGACTCATCAAATTACTTCTAGAAAAGTTAGTAAATATTGAATCCATTTTAATAAGGAGAAAAACTAGTTAAAAAGCATTACGTATTTTTAGTACTGATTATATCTTTACTTATTTTTCTCACAAATCTAGTTTTTCTTTGACTACTGTTTTTTTGTTTTAATTTAATTTTTTAAATTTGTTGTCTTCATCAGGAAAATTGGCCTGTAAACGATAAAATGAATGTGTCTGCTGGCGAGTTACTTGGTAGAACACATGAGGAATTAGTTTTGTTGTTAATTCAATTGCGCAGACAAAGTGCGCAAACTGTACAAGCGATTGAAAATTGTTACAATGAAATTGACACGATACAGGTTTGGTACCTTTAATCGCTTATAGTGAATTCATTTTTAAAATGTCTCAGATCAACAACATTTATATCACTTTAATGGATGAGAAAACGAAATTTTGTTGATTTGAAATAGATTTTAAATGACTTTACAAGAAATAAATACTAAATTTTCAGGCCTACTAACAAATAGACTACTTGGTGCTTGGGTATCTTTAAGTAATCATTTAAATGCCTATAGCTTATATTATATTTATATCTGGTTCCGCAAATGCAATGCAACTATTTGTAGTTGATTCTTTTATTGTTAAATTTTTTATAGTCGATCTCTTAAACAATTTTATCATTATAAATATGTTTATTTAGGCACAATTGCATATGATGGATCAGGCTAGAAGAATGGAAAATTTGCAAAAATTAGAACAAATTAAACAACATTTGTTGGAACTAGAAAAACAGGTGCGTACTTATGAACTCTTTGAATGACATGAAATAACTGAATACATTCTTTTTAGTATGAAAAGGGGAAACCGTTGGTAAATTTAGTAGACAATATGGTAAAACTTGGTTCTTTATACCGCGTCCCGACAGATAGAACCAATTTAACTCCTTATATTCGCGATCGTTTGGAATTTAACCAACAGATTCAAGAGCGTAGGCTTTTAGCAGAAGAAAAACGTGAATGGAACAGATTGAATCCGAACCACTTCCACCTGCAAGAAAAAGTGCAGCAACTCTACCAGTTGGATCGGTTGATACATGAAGAATCGGGCACTTTGCAGAACCTTCAACAGGATAAAGAGGACATTGAAAGGGCCTTAGGCGGATTAAGACATCGCCTTTCTAAAGGGTTTAACGATCCGGCCGAGATAGAACAAGCAAGGAAGCAACAAATTATGTTGGAAAACGAACTGAGCAGAGTGCACTTGATGTTAGCACAAAATTCAAAAAAACTAGAAGAAACAGTCGCTGGAAATGCTAGGTTAGAACAGGAACTTCTAGTTCTGAAACAAAAGTTGCAAACTTCTAGACAGCAGAGGAGTTCACAACAATTTTCTAATGCTGGTACGACATTATTTGTTTTATATCCCAACATTTTTGTTTTATAATAATTCGTTGATTTTAGGCGACAGTTTGACGTGTGCAGTAGGAAACAGCGCCATGTTAGAATCCGATTTGCAGAGAGTACAAAAGAAAATTGGAGACCTTCAGAAGCAACGTCAAGAACTGAGTATACAAGTACGACAACTTACGGACAGATCGAACAACATACCACAACAGAAGTCATCCCCCAGTTCAGTACAAAGTAGTCAGTGTAAGAAAAAAATTACTTCACTATGGCGTGAGACTGATTTGGATACAATGAACATCGTCGACCATGGTGAATTATGGGATAATTCAATAAGTACAAACCCTTCCACTCCCCTTTACATAAACACGGATATGAAACTTGGCGACTCCGACTTCTATAATCGTAGTACAAGATCTAGCGATTCGACAAGTGATAACACTTCCTTGAACTCCAATATACCTCAAGAGAAACAGGAAATTAAAACAGTACGCATAGTGAAACGAGAATCGGAAAGACGACAGAGAGATAGAGAAAAAACTACCACGGGTAAATGGGACACGGTTATGGAGGAAGATGATTCTTCCCAAAATTCCAGTATCCTTTTCAGGCCTACGCCCGTTCAAAAGATCCAAAGTGCCACCAATCTAGCTTCGCCAAGCTACGAGGAACCCAAAACTGACTTGCTAAGCAGGCAGAACTCGATCTCCAGTCCAAATTTGCCGCAGTGCTCAGACGGAAGGACCACATCTAGTACGGACGTTAGCACGGATAAATCACCCGAATTATCCCCGATATTCAAAAGCGAAGCCGCGCGTCAGATAATCACCGAAATGTCTATTCAAGATACACCAAAACATAACAACAGACGTGCCATTCCTAAAGAAAAACGTAGACACTACACGGCGCCACATAACAACCTGATAATGAAGAGCTTACATCAGCTTCCGACTGACAGCAATGCTTTCAACAAAATGATAATGAACAGTCGAAGAGCCAGGGATGACATGGACATGGAGAGGGCGCTACGGCAGAGAATCGACGCACCCGATGTCGTCCGATCCACCCTAAGCAATAAAGAACTCAAGTATAACGAAAACACCATAGATAATATTCTGGGCACCCCAAATAAGATTAGCATACCTGAACGGTACATACCTGAACAGTTACCACAGTTATCGGCGGAAGAACAAGAGTATAGGCTGAGGAAGGTAGAATCGATCAAGAAAATGCTTTCCGATACTGCTCTTATCAGTAGCAGTTCGGCTAACCTGAATTCAAGTAAGTTCCTTTTATGTTTATTTTAATATTTCTATATGTCAACACTTTAGTATGAAAACATGCTATCTCAGATTTCGGTTAAAAAACATGCTATCTCAGTGTGACTAGAAATTTAAGTTGGCACATTGAGTGATCGAAACCATGCATTTATAATAAACTTATATAATATATTTTTCATAAAGTAAGGAATATTTATGTTCAGGTACACTGTTTATTTTATTTTTTTTATTTAACATTTTTCAATTAATTTTGTTAACTTACTGTAATAAAGATAAAATTCTGAATTAAAAAAAATAGAATAATATACAGTATGCTGCAACACGTACATTACTCGACGTTTTTTGAAATAACAAATTATAAAAAGAATAGTGTATACCTTAATATATAAAAATGAATAGCGCACTCTTACCTGATTCATAGTCACTACTCTTACTTTTATTAATAGAGTTAACATAATAACCAGAGTATAAAGTTGAATGATGTGTATATATCGATGCGACGGACGCATATGATATGCACGTGCAGACTTCCGCGGTTCCCCATGCACACATGTTTATCATCAGCAGATCATAAAGTACCGGTAATAAAAGTGTCGCATACCTGCATTTCATTTCCGAAGTCTATGCAAGGACGCGGTTACCGTGTTTTTATTGAGGTGCAGTAAGAACGATTCGGACCCGGAGTTTGGGACCTAGCCTGGTCCACTATATAATTCTTTTTATTGCAGTCTCCTTAGTCTGCATTAGGCATACAAAATTATTTTCAGAATAAATTGTGCATCCCAGATTTTGTGAAAAAGAAAAATAAGTGTATCAAGAGTAGCGACTATAAATCAGATAAGAGTTCGCTATTAATTTTGATATCAAAGCAAACTTGTGTGAAAAAAAAATCGAATAATTTTTTGTAATAACAAACATTTTTATACTGGGTGTAACGTAAAGGTTGGAAATAAATTAAAGGATGTATTTTTTTATTTAAAAAATATTTTTTGTCATATGAAGTTATGCTCTACGGGTTTAATTTTCCAAGCTACAGGGTGCTAAAAAGTTTCAAAAAATTTAGTTTTTCTCCAATAACATTCGAACATTATAAGATAATGAAACAAAATTTTAGGCTTAGCTTAATTTGATAATCCCCTAGTAACAGGAAAAAGATTGACATTGTAAGTTGCTCATTGGCGTGCGTACGAATTGTACCGTAAGGTTTCTCAAAGAAAATTGTGGTACGCCACTGGTAAAAACATTTTTTTAATATTTTTTTATTTTTTATGATCCACTTTTTATTTTAAACAAAGTTACCCTCTTACGTTTTATTTCTAGCTCTTGTGATTTTTGCGTAAATAAAACTTTTGTAAATACCATTTTTTCCCACTGCTAACATAGGAAAATAAAAATAACAAAAACATTATGAAGTATGCTTTGACTCAGCCACCAAACATGGTCAAATAGGCATTGAAAAAAGATTTTTGCATTGAAAATGATATTAAAAAACTAAATTTTTTAAAATTTTTTAGCGCCCTGTAGCTTGGAAAAGAAATCCCCTAGAGCATAATTTTATATGACAAATATTTATTTTTTAAAATAAAAAATTCACCGTTTAATTTATTCCCAACCTTTACGTTATAATAGTTAATTTTAAGAGCATATGAGAATTTTTTATATTATTAATTATTCCCAACCTTTACGTTATACCCTGTATATTAAGAGATATACACTATTTTTTTTATAATTTGTTATTTCAAAAAATGCCGAGTAATGTACATGTTGCAGCATACTGCATATTATTCTATTTTTTTAATTAACAATTTTGTCGTTTATAACAGTAACTTAACAAAATTAATTGAAAAATGATGAATGAAAAAATAAAATAAACAGTGTACCTGAACATAAATATTCCTTACTTTTTGAAAAATATATTATTATAAGTTTATTATAAATGCAGGGTTTCAACTGAGATAGCATGTTTTTACTTGAAGATCTGAGCTAGCATGTATTCCAAGCTTAATTTGGGATAGCATGTTTTCCAACCGAAATCTGAGATACCATGTTTTCATACTAAAGCATTGGTATATGCATTTTTCAGCCGAGGATAAGCAAGCTGATAATACAGCTAACAGTATAACGAATAAGGCGACTACGAAAATGATTGAAGAAAAAAAACAGCGGGAACATTTGTTGCATCTCAATCAAATTCTTGCCAAACAAGTTATGGAAATGAGTAAAATTGTCGCAGGTAAAATTTCACATTGTTCATATTCATAAAATATAAACAGCATGGCATTCACTTTATTAGTTTGCATTTTTTTTATTTTGTTTTTTATTTTTATTTTCGTAGGTACCAACTCTGCAGACGAGAAATTATAGTATGAGTAGTCGTGCTTGCTCTAGTTAAGGTGTGTGCATTTATTTATTTTTTCCACTGCGTTCACGGCTGAAAAAATATTTTTTTTTGCTTTAAATAATTTCACATTCATAACCTCATTTACACCATAAAATAAAGTTAAATAACCCCACAAAAAATATTTTTTCTTTTTTATATTTAGTATATTATAAATAAGGACATGAATATCTATTTTAATGTTCGTATGTATTGTTTTAGACAGTTTATCACAGAAAAAATCTCAAATCACTAATAGTGAAGATGGTACGTGTTGTGTTTAGCCTGTTTTGTTTAGAGTTAATACTGAATTTGACTTGTTAAACATAACTTTATTAAACAAGTATTGTAATAATAATTGAGTAAAAAATAACGAATGATCTAATATGCACAATTTTCTAGTTTTTATTTTTATAACTAATTTCACCACTCGAGTAACTAATTCAATGGAAGTTTTCTAAAGAAATTTGGAAATCATCTACCTAGTAAAGAACATCCTATAAGTACATAGGCCGACAAAATTTTACGAAAGTCCAGAACCAGAGACCGGATCTAGTGTACCCGAAGGATTTTGGTACGCTGATTATGAATCTGAGCTCAGAATTGGCCCATCACCCTAGGTTCTCGAGATATTCTAACCGAAAACTGCAAAAATCGCGGTTTTTTGCTATATTCGAGGTCAGATTACAACGTGAATAAATTTTTTTTCTAAAATCTCATTAAACCATCTCAAAGTATCACTCTTACGCTTCCAAGGGCACTTCGATTTTTTTAAAACCTTTTTTTTCCATAGAGATATAATAGATTGAAGTTTAGTATTTCAGCGATTTCGTTACAACATGGAAATAAACAAAATTTATCCAAAAGTGAGATATGAGTATTTATATATTTCTTGAGTCGCTGAATTTGAAAACACTTACGAACCTGCTCCATAACCTCAATATTTCAAGATTATCTAACCTAAAATTGTGAAAACACTATTAAATGAAGCAGATACTTCTGTGTACACACGCCGTTACATTCGCATGCTAAGCTCATGATAGGTTCATCATAAAACACTACAACCTATGACAAGTGAACCTAAATGCGCAATAACCAGCGAGGGTTAAACCCACGACAGGTTAACCTAAATGCGCAATAACCTGCGAGTGCTAAACCCGCAACAGATAAATCTAAGTAAGCTATATCCTGCGACACTAAACCCACGACAGGTAAACCTAAATACGCAATAACCTGCAACGCAAGGATAAATTTTGTTTATTTCCATCAAATCAAAATTGCTGAAGTACTAATCTTCAATCTATCTTATCTCTATGGAAAAAAAAAGATTTTAAAAAAAATAGAAGTGCGCTTAGAAGAGTAAGAGTGGTACTTTGAGATGGTTTAACACGATTTTAGAAAAAAAAATTAATTTACATTGTAATCTGATCCCGAATATAGCGAAAAAACCGCAATTTTTGCACTTTCAGGTTAGAATATCGAAAACCTAGGGTGATGGGCCAATTCTGAGCTCGGATTAAATCAGCGCATCAAAATCCTTCGAGTACACTAAATCCGGTCTCTGGTTCTAAAAATTGTGGGCCTGTGTTATCTGAATCAATAGTCACAAAAGTTTTCTAATCATGACATACTTCAAAAAATGTAGAAATCTTTTAGTAAGGATTGTAAATTATATTCAATAAGGATATTTATAATAGTATACAGGATGTTTATGAGCACTTGGACAATTACAGGTTTTAAGTCTAGAAATTCACAGAAAAAAATATTCATATAATTGTTTAAGTACTGCTGACTTAACCTAGTGACACTGTTGCCAACTGTTACTATTCAGCAAAGTTCACTTGGACTTGAATTTTTTTAATACCTAACATCACCGAATATTAATAGTCTGAATGTTTTATTGGGCTATTTTTTATTTCTGCTCGTATTAAAATCAGTTGTTTCTTGTATTTTGATATTAAGTCTAGAATGGGTAAAATTGTAATAATGGGTGTCACTTTTGTTATTACATTATTACAATTATGGCACATTATTACAGTAACCATCGATTTGTAGATATACTGTAAATGTAGACAAAATGTTGTGGCACAGAAGTATGTATGCGTAATGCTGCCAGATTTATATTACTCATTTAAGGAGCTTGTGATACTAATTAGTTATAATTCCAGGTGGCAATATGTATCTTGTATCACGATGAATACATGTTGGTCCTTTTAACTTCAACAGTTTAAAACAGAATATGTTTAAATTTTTTTGCTTGTAAACACCCTGTACGTTAATAAAGACCTTTTACAGTGGTTTTTAGTTTTGTCCCAGAGTATAGACTTTGGGAATCATTAATGTAATTTGTTTAATTTTTTTGTGCTTTCTTCATTTTCAAACTTAGTTTATATTATCTGAGCGTTAGTAAATAATGACTTTTTACAATTATTTAGATAACACTTTAAATGCAACTCTTATTTATTCATTTCAATTTACATCTTGACTAGGTAGATTTTTTTAGTTTCTTTGTTATCGATTAACAAAACTTGTCAGTTATTCGACGTTGCAGTTGTTTGAGATTTTTTAATGAAGTTGAGAACCGGACATATAGAAATTTTAATTTTAATTTAGTTAAAGCACTGGCAAAGTTGCCTCTACAACTCCATCAGGTGAGCACCGAGGAAGAAGATTCTTCACCTTTAACTCCATTGCCCATATACCAACAGCGTGATAACTTTTATAGTTAATATATTTAATTTAGTTTTGGTGGTACAAATTTAAATAGTTGTGTTCAAATGTTTGGCATGTTGTACATTTTAAATATATGCAGATCTCCACTCTAATGTAAGTCTCTAGCGAGCTCTGAAACGATATTCAAAATGTAAAAATAAAGAACTGACGCCAGACAATAAGATGTAATATAGTACATAAAACACAGGTGAATATAATAGAGTTGTTGTTACGGTTATAAAATTTACCTGTGGCATATGAAATAAAAAAAAATATGATTTTTGTTTATAAAACGCATGATCTAATAATTTTTATTCAAAATTAGAAAACTTCAAATTGACATTTTTGAAAACCGACTGATAGAACGGAAATGTGGTTAGGTGTTATCTCGGATGGCCTAAATGCGGTTCTGGCTTAGTTGAATGTATATTATAAAAGTTTTGTTGTACAGTTATTAGATAGGTCTAACGTATTGTTAAAGGATAATTATTAAACTACATTTTGTTAAGATTATGCTCAAGATGTATTTAAATGTATATATATGTTTTTATTTTTTGAATTTTTAGGGTGACGGTTTTCAGTCGAACCTCCTCCGTTTTATTAAGATGTTCACACGAAAATGACCAGTCACGGTGGTCTTGACTGGTCAAATAAATCCTTTATTTTTGTAGTGACAAAATGATTTTACAAACGTTTGTTAGAATGTTGTTAACCAGTTTTGTGATTTCTGGATTGTAAATATAAAAGTTAATAGGCTGTGTTCTCGTATGAAACAAATGTCAATTTTATATAGAGTTGAATTTTATTGGTTTTTTAGTTTTAAAGTTGGTTTTTATCTAGATGTATTTCTTGTGAACATCGTAACAAGGGGCAACTATTCTAATACTACAATCCGAATTTTTCTACCTTTATTAGCTAATAGTTAATTTTAAGAGCATATGAGAATTTTTTATATTATTTATTGCTATTATTAGGATAAGCCTTTGTATAGATTGTATTCTTTATTGTAAAACAATATTATGATTATACATAAGCCACAGAGTTATTTTATTTTGGTATTAGCACTGTGCCGCTCAATGTTGTTATAGAGAAAAAGCAATATTCAAAATTAGTTTCGGAAATATTAAATCAGCATGTTTTGTTCTTTATATTCAATAAAATTTTTAAACAGACAATATTGTCTCATTTGATATTACATTTCGAAAAGCAAGAATTGTACTAGGAAGGGTTTTTCCATATCACGATTTAGTACTATCCATATTTTCAACTGCTTCGTAGCGAGGCAGAGTTTTCTTCAAAATTTCGATAATGGAATGAGTAATTAGAATAATTTCAAATCGATGTTTACTGAATGTGCACATCTGTGCAGTATTTCTTCTGATAATTAAAATTAATTGTCCTGAACAACTTCTGACAAATTATGAACAGAAATCCTTTAAATATTGTGTATGAAAAACTTTATCAAAGAAATACTGAAAATACATACAGTGTGACCCATTTGAAACGGAGACACCCTCATAAAATTTTTATTTACAGGGCAATTTTGACCAACTTTATTTTGAATTGTAGAGGGGAGAAAAGTGTACTTTAGGCCCAAGTCTCATCCTCTTTATACAAAAACCAAGGCCTACCAGATCATTTTTGGTAAAAATTGAAGAAACCATATTAGCAATTTTTTTGGAAAAAATCTGAGTACATCACTGGATTATGTGCCCCTTAAAATGGGCCTATACCAAATTTCATAAAAAAATATTGCATATTAATAATTCTGTGACAAAATAGAAAATCACATTGTCATGAATTTTTTTCGTCTGACGAAGCAATTCATGGAATAAAACTTCAAAAATAAAAGACAATAGGTAACTATTTTTGTTCATAACAATATTTAACAAAATTATTGAAGTTTCAGAAGAGAAGAATTATTAATTAAATTCTTGTTATTATCTCCACCAATCCTCCGTTTATTTCAAGGCACTTATCATACCTTTTTCCTATGTTCATGGTTACTTTTCTCAGTTGTTCTGGGGTAAGATTTGCACATGCTTCAGTTATTCTAGCATGTAATTTTTCTACCGACTGTGGTCTTGACTTATACACGTTTTGCTTAAGGATACCCCATAGGAAAATGTTGTGTGGCGTTAAGTCAGGGGATCTTGGCGGCCATTCAGTAAGAGGACGTTTTATTCCATGGCTTGCTTCGTCAGACGAAAACAAATCATAATGTGATTTTCAATTTTGCCACAGAATTATCAATATGCAATATTTTATAATGAAATTTGGTATAGGCCCATTTTAAGGAGCACTTAATCCAGTGGTGTACTCAGATTTTTTCTAAAAAATCGCTAATATGGTTTTTTCAATTTTTACCGTCCAAAAAAAATGATCTAGTAGGCCTTGGTTTTTGTATAAAGAGGATGACACTTGGTCTTAAAGTACACTTTTCTCCCCTTTACAATTCAAAATAAAGTTGGTTAAAATCGCCCTGTAAATAAAAATTTTATGTAGGTGTCCCGGTTTCAATGGGTTACACTGTATACAGGGTGTTTTTCTATGTTGCAGCTTTCATTTTTAACCTGATGCAGATTACAACAAAATAAGTATGTTTTTCGTTGTGAAAGGTACATATTAAATAATTTTATTGAAAGCTGAAACGTTTTGTCATATAGTGGCAAGTTACACATGATGTTTCGTAAAAGCTATAGTGATTTTGGTTTTCATCAATATCGAGCTCCAGACCAAAAGTACCAAGTAATCAAGAGTATAAATTTAGAAAATAGAAAAAAAATATTTTTCAAATAAATAGAATCTGTTGGTTGATTTTTAGTTGTTTTGTTTTATAAATATAGTAATTTATAATTTATCAAATGAATTTTATATTTATAAATGTTTTTTTTTTTGTCAAAGTGATTGCCCTTTTTGTCATGAAAATTATTAATATCATATTATATTTCATCCTCAATTTTCATAGTGTAAAAATTATTTAAAATTGCTTCAATTCAGCATTGCCTCAATGTTGGCCAGGCTAAAACAAATCCAGTATCAACAATTAATCTTCAACATCTTCATTTAGATCTGAACTTCATTACTTTATCTTTGAGATTTCCAAAAATATATTATCTACTTAAAATTACTGTATTACACCCTGTATAAATTAAACACCAAAATGATAAATAAACCTTATAATTGTATGGCTGTAAATAAATAGTTCTAATAATATATTTGCAGTACAATTGGATTGTTATAACATCATTAGAAAATGTCGTTTGATATAAACAACAAGTTGCGGGTAACTGACAAATTCCCATATAGACCAGGAAAGGAAACATATTGAAATTTATTATTATAGGCGTGATTTTATTGTTGGAAAGTCTTGGGAATGATAATACAAGCGGCGTCTCATCTCGTGACTCATGAAAAAAGTATAGCGGCATTGTTTTTTATCAACAAATAGGTCAAAAATTCGTTATTTTTCGTTCTATGCGTTATTGTAAAAAAGCTATTAATCTTAGCAAAAAATGTTCAACAGACGATTTGATCTAGATAAACTCATCTTTAAAATGAGACTTTATAAGTTAAAATTTATTGCAAAGTTAAACGGAGTGCCCTAAAAATGAATTTTTTGAAAAATTTTTTTTGCATTTTTTTTTTTAATTTGAAATGTTTTAGACAATAGTTCTCAATAAAAAAATATTGTCAAAATTATTTTAGCCCTTCAAAATTTATTTAATCCCCTCAACCCCCAAAAAAAATCTATATTTTTATTATTTTTTATTTTTTCATATATTTTGTATATTGATTAAAGGATGAATTATTTTGTAAAATTATTAATTAATTATATTTATTAGTATAAAAATATATAAAATATTTCCATAGATACTGACAGTAGAAATTTATTTTTAAAATTCATTATAAATTTCAACTTCAATTTGAGGGTTGAGGGAGTTAAATTAATTTTGAAAAAAATGTCACAATTATTATTTTGACATTTTTTTTTATTGAGAACTATTGTCTATTTTTCAAAAAATTCATTTTTCGGGGGTAGGGAGTGGTTTTACAAGGGTAGAAATAAGCTATATCGAGGTGTATATAACTTCTTTCAAAAGTTAAGAACCGCGGAGTTATTTTATTTCTTTATTAGGGAAAAAAGTGCCTTTTATTTGTTAAAAATTATATACAACTAAATTTGAAAAAAATTTATTTTTTTTTAACTAGAGGATACTTCTTTCGAAGAAAATGGGCCCAAAAAGAATGTTTTAGTCAAAACCCTGCCCCCGGAATAGTCATTTTAAAATGGGCCTTTTTTGCAAAAATGGGCTAAATAAATGGAATTTTGCAAAAACTATTTGACCAATTGAGCCCATCTTTTGCACATCTCTGAAAGATATAAAAACACATTTTGGTAAAATTAGATAAGATTTTATTAATTATTTAAAAAATTATTAACAATTAAAGAAAAAGCACTTTTTCCATTTAATTTTGCAATAAATTTTTTGTTTATATAGCAATTTTAACTTATAGTCTCATTTTAAAGATGAGTTTCTCTAGATTAAATCGTCTATTGAACATTTTTTATGATTAATAGTTTTTTTACAATAACGCGTAGAACGAAAAATGACGAATTTTTGACATATTTGTTGATAAAAAAAACAATGACGCTATACTTTTTTCATGACCCACGAGATGAGACGCCTCTTGTATTATCATTCCCAAGACTTTCTAACAATATAATCACGCCTAGTAGTTTTCACAATTTCTCGATGATTTTTCACCTTTATTTCTTGGTCTAATAGTTATCAGCCTGATTTTATAAATTTTATGATCAATGACCATTTTCGACATACAGGGTGGTGAAGTATTTTGTATGTTAATATATTTTATATAATCTAAGTTGTATAGAGACGGTTGCAGAGCAACAAAAACAAAAATGTTGTTGTTGAAAAATAAAATAAAATGATGACATGTTCTAAATTCTATTAATTTATTTGTGCAGTTGTACAACCTTCAGGAAATAAAGAAAATTAATCACATCAGCACAAGAGTTTATACAGTCCACTCTATCGAATAACACAGGGTGTCCTGAAATTATTGCAACAAAATTTGGTCATAGATTCTTAAGACAAATTTAAGGGACCCGTATTTTTTATTTTTGCCAAGTGGCCCCTTCTTTCAGAGTTACAGCCTCCTGAAATTCGCCCCTAAGTATAATTTTTTTTATATCTCAGAACTCTGTTGTACAAGAATCACTAAATTTGGTACACAGGGTTTTTATGACATGTGGAATCTGATGGTGCTGCGCTTTTTGGAGGGGAACCCCTTAAGACAACTTTTCGTGGGCATATTTAAATTTCTTAAAAATTATTAGTCCGCTAGAAAGCCATTAAATTTAGAAACTTTTTTATCTCTTGATCCTCTTTTCATAAAATGTCAAAATGTGATCAAACACATCACGAATCGCCATTTTACTCAAAAACGTTGCGTTTTACGAAAAAAATATCAAGGGACAAAAAAGTTTCTAAATTCAGTGGCTTTCTAGCTAAGCAATAATTTTTAAGAAATTCAAATTTGCGGATAAATTTTTTTGGTTCCAGACAATGGAGCCCACGAAAAAATGTCTTAACGAGTGTTCTCCGCCAAAAAGCGTAGTACTATCAGATTCCATATCTCATAAAACCCCTGTGTACCAAATTTAGTGATTCTCGTACAACAGTGTTCCGAGATATAAAAAAGACTATTCTTAGGGGCAGATTTCAGAGGGCTGTAACTCCAAAAGAGGGGGCTACTTGGCAAAAAGAAAAAATACGGGTCCCCTAAATTTGTCTTAAGAATCTATGACCAAATTTTGTTGCATTAATTTCGGGATACCCTGTATAATACAAAGTATTATTATTTGCATGAGCGTGTAGGTATGATTTTTGCTTGGAGTAGGCCTTAAGGGGATCAGCTGGTCAGCCAGCTAGTCCGACCAAAAACATATTGGATCATTTTTTTTTCTCAGGAGGGTACCAGGCTCTCTAGAGAGGGCCATGCCCACCACCGTCCCCTATATCTATGCGCCTGATGATTTAGACTATTTCCGTGAAGGAAATAATGACTGATAAATGTTAAACTGGAGAAAATAGAATATTAAACAGTTTTTAAAGATTTTGGAGGGATTTCAAAAAATTTATAAAACCTTTACTGCTAATGTCTAAATAAAAGAAACGATGTGCACTGTAATTCAGTTATATTTCTTCAATACTATTACATGATTCATTGTAACTTTATTAATAACTTATTTAAAATAATTAAAGCATAAATTAATAATGGAAATTTTAATAGAATTTGTCGTGATTTTATTTGGCTTTGCCTTGTGCTGCGACGGCTTCCATGGCTTTTTTGACAGTTTCAGGATCACCCAAGAACTGTAAACTCTCGATTGGTTTGAGATTCTCATCCAAAGTATAAACAAATGGAATACCAGTTGGTAAATTAAGTTTCATGATTTGATCGTCGGTTAATTCTAAAAATTCAAAAAACGGGATTAGAAATTTATTTTAAACAACAGTTCAATGTTCTACTACTTACGATCAAGATGCTTGACAATACCGCGCAGACTGTTGCCATGAGCTGCGATTAAAATCTTTTTCCCAGCTTTAATTTGCGGAACGATAGTTTCATTCCAGAATGGCAGTGTACGTTCAATGGTCAGTTTTAGAGATTCAAATTTTGGAAATTGGTCTGGAGATGGACCATCAGCATAGCGAGAGTCCTTTACAATGGTGTCATAATAGGGATGATCAGGTTCCATTGGTGGTGGAGGAACGTCGAAGCTACGGCGCCAAATAGCTACTTGATCGTCACCATACTTGGCAGCAGTTTCTGCTTTGTTTAGACCTGTCAAGCCACCGTAATGCCTTTCATTTAGCCTCCATGTTTTAACGGTTTGAAGGTTAGATTGACCAATCTCGTTTAAGATGGATTTAAGGGTTTCTTGAGCCCTTGTTAGAACTGAAGTGTACGCTATGTCGAACTGGTAACCTGAATCTTTCAATGCTTTGCCAGCACTCAACGCTTCTTGTTTCCCTTTAAATAATAAAAAAAACAAATGCTAATTATAATAAATAAAAGGGTTCAAAATTGAAACATTACAAGAAATATTGCGATAACTCATTTATTTCTGATAACATACGAAATTCATTGCCATATAACTGTGTGGAATAATTTTATCAATGCTATACTTTTTTCCTAAGCAGCTACATCCCTTGGAAAAATATTCTTCAGTCAATTTAAGCTAGGTTAGGTGGAAAGGTCATACAAGGACAAAATGTACAGTAATTATTCTATTTACCTTTTTCGCTCAAATTGGCATCAAACCATCCACAGAAAAGGTTTTTTTCATTCCATTCTGATTCACCATGACGAACCATAACAATTTTATAGGGTGCCATCGCTTTTAGAAAATTTGATTCACACCTTCAACACCCCAAAAATATCACCGTTTAAATGCAAAGATGAAGATTGAAGATGCACAATGAAAAAAATGCAGTCACGGGAACTTTCAGTGTTATTTGTTATTTAACCCAGGAGTTTTCTCGCTGAGATAGAGATATATAGACGTAGACTTTTCCTTTACGTGCCAGACCATAGGCCAGACTATTGGATGCAAAGTGCAAGATAAAAAGAAATAGATACATTAAAACTAACCCAATATGTCACGCCTTCACATCTGGTGACATCTATTGTCTATGATCTCAATTCTGAACTGTCGATCCGAGTACAGCTATAATCGTGTAGAGAGCATAGTGGTTGTTTTAACAAGTTTAGTGTCAAAGTTAATTTTATGAGATTATTTGAATTAAATTTGAAAATATTTCGGGCAAGTTTATTTTTAAAATGTGTTGTATACTTAGTCAGCCAGATCTTCCATTTATAATAGCTATGTACATTTTTTAATGTAGTAAAACTTGGAAGCCAACAGTTTTTTGTCATATATATATAATTACTGTTAAAACTGAAATATGTAAATATTATGTTGTTGCAATCTAATCATATGAGTAAATAAATATTTAGTTACTCATATGAATCTAATCAATCAGTGCTCTTGCAGCATTAGAAGTAATAACAGACTTTTTTAAATTGTTTTTTTTCAATTTGACATGTTACAAAGGTTTTCATCTACTGAACAGTTGTATACTTGTATACTTTTTCAAATTGTGGATTAAAATGTATTTACATTTATCTTAAGCCCGGCTGTATATTAAGAAAATTTTTGACATATTCAATTCCCTTCTTCCCCATCTTAATTAAATCGTAAATCGTGTCACGTCACAGGAGATCAATCACTCAGATTCTTCATTACACTGATCACATTCATTACATTGCATAAAATGAATATTTACAGTTGCGGCCTTAACCATTGCGAGGCTCGGGGTGGTAGATCTTTGCCCTTGTGCCCTTGTTCTTTGTTAAATGTACGTAAATCGAATGTAGATATTTCTGACAATTTAAGAGAAATGCAAAAGTTAGGTATAAATTTTGAGTATTCAAATATTATATTAAGAGATTTTTAAAAGTTATCAAATACAAAGACGACAAATTTTTAATAATGATAAAATAAGGTACGAGATTCAAACATATTTTTCAATTATGTTTTACAGTCAAATTACAAAAAAATACTATTATCTGCTGATAAATTAATTGATTTTGATATCAATTATAAAATAAATCTAATAAATGAGAATTATATTTTATTTAGGCACCTGTTAAGTACTGCTTATTAATAAGTATTAATATATGTAATATGAATTAACCAACTTTATTTTATTGTCATATACCTTTATAACTAGTAACTAAGGATAATATAAAGTTTTAAATATAAACTTTTTTTTACTTGGGTTGTTGTGTGAGGCGATTGTCCTGCTTGCCACCCCCATAAGGTCACCACTGTTTGTACTACTTATATTATGTATGTATTGATACATTTTCTAGTACTTGTCGAATGCATACAAAGTCAAATTAGTTGTGAGGTAACAAGTAGTGAGTAACCAGCTTTATGATGATATTTTGAATAAATTTTGTGATATGATTTATACAATTTTCGTAATATTCTTCGAAAATGTGGTATAATTGGATTTGTTTTTAAATTACATATATTTGTTAATTGTTAGTAGTCATGTTTTATAGTATTTGACTGCTCATATGCCTCCCACAGATTGGAGTGTAACATATAATAGCAGTATCTAAAGTACTGTATATTTTGAGTAAATTTGAGTTCAATTAGTTTCTGTTTATTACATTAAATAATACTGTGATAGTTTTATGTAGTGAAATTTTAAACAACTAATATAAAATCTTTACAGGTAAATATAAAATATTTGTAACTATAATGTTGAGAGATACTTCTCAACATGTTAAAGATTGGGTAAGGAAAATAATTATTCAAGCTTTTCCAAGTACAAATACATATATAATTTTATTTATAAAATCAAGACATACATTTATAAAAAAATCTTAAATAATATTGCGAATATAATCATCGAGTCACTACCATAACAACATAAGGAAATGGTGGCCAATGAAGATAAGTCGTTGGGTATAGTATTTTTCTTAATTGTCTCTAAGTTTGGATACAGAGAGCCATCTTATTAATCTAACAACTACTCTAATATCATTGAAAACATGTATAACGGTGTACCCGTCAAACATATACAATAAATTACTTGAAAAATGTACAAGACATCTTTAGTCAGATCAGTACCATGTAGAATTTTCTATAACAACAGAAAATCCTATAACGTGTGTTGAAGAATTGTACCTCAAAAGTATTTTGATTTTAATTTCACCATTTTTAGAAAATGGCTGTTCCAAAAATATATAAGTATTATTCATAAAGCATAAGTCAGGTACGATTAAATTTTTTGCGAGACTGGTAGCAATACACTCGCAATATATTGAAAGTTACATATGATAAAATTATGATGTGTTGAGAACATCAACCACTCAAAAACATACCGTTATATAACAACTTTATAAAATTATTCAGACTTCAAGCGGTCAATGCATTACAACAGTCATTTCAGATTCAAATTATACATCTACTAAATAAATTTAAAATCCAAAATAAAAAAACGTTCTGGCAAACATTAAACAACAAAACGATAATTGCTGAGATGCTAAATTTAAAAAATATCAAAATGACTGTATTGTTACCTTTGTGCTACATTCTTCAATAAAATAGTTTTTGAGTACTCCTTATCACAACACACTTAGGGTGTGCATATCTAAGTCATGGCTGGTCACTATATACAAGTCATATAATATCTAAAGCTATTTACAGTGATTTCCCTTAATCCCACCCCCTAGATGCAAGAACTAGTGGTTCTGTACACAATGTGTCAGATCATCTACACACTTCAATTTTGAGATCAACGGCGACCATGTAATGTCATAAAACGATGTTAACCCTAATAGTAATTCGTAATAAAAACATCTAAAATTTTTAGAAACAAAACATTGCCACCATGTATATAAAAATTTATAACATTAGAGTTACACTGAATGTTATTGGATCACCTCAATATTTTACAAATATAAATGCGATCATATATCTAATAAACATAAAAAAACAATACTAACAATAACTTATGTTTGATTATAAATGAGTGTAAAAAAATCCAAGTAAAATCAACATGCTAGATACTATAAACAATCAATAAAGTTCTAATTAACATCGCTCTTAAAATTACATCGTATAAAAAAACAAATCACAACAAAAATGATAAATGATAAGTACGTAAAGATAATATCAATGGCGGTTTTTAGTGGTCCATAAGTTCCACAAATGTTATATCGAAGAGGTCCTCATCCAGTTGCTTCAGTTCCAACAAAAACAAATCTTCATTACAGTAGTAAGCTACCATATCATCGTCAATTTTGGCTATAATGCTGCAAAATAATAAATATTATATAATTTAAAATGCGGATAGTTGGTACAGTCTGTAAGTGTTCAAAGCATTTGAATCATAACCAAATCATTCACATTTCAAAAATTCTAGTAATTCTAAGTTGTAGCATCCATTTTAAGCATAAGTGTACCTATGGCTAGCTTTAAATAATTAACATACTAATATGTATTTATTATCTAGCACTACATTTTTAGGGAATTAACTACTCTTTTAATTCTTTTATCTATTAACTTGTATGTTGAACTTGAATAAAATTTTTTTTGGCTTTCTAAAGATATATTATTAGATTAATATAAAAAAAACACTAATAAATATTTTCAATTTGAATTAAAGTTCACTTTGTTAATAACGTAACAGGTTGTCAGTAGGTATACATGTAAATATATATATTTATATTGTAAATCTAATCATTTGATTATGTGACTAAGCAATTAATAAATCAAATGATTAAAATAGAAAACATCTATCCTAAATGGTTTAATTGTAATTCATGTCAGTAATAACATAATATTATATCAAAATTAAATAAGATCGAGAGTTACTGAATTCTGTTCCGTTGTTGCATTTAGAGACAAACAATATGAAATATCCAATTTTTAATAGTGTTTAAGTAATTTTTCTTTGTAACACTTACATACTGGACCAGTGAATTTGGTGGTAGTTAGTAAAATGCGAACTGTTAGTGTTTAGACCAGTTAGTATCCAGTTCACTCTTCACAACTACTTTAAACAATGCGGAACGTCTAACTTACCCTTTTTTGTTTTTGCGATACAAATTATTTATGCTCGTAGCGCTAATTTTGTACTTATTCTCAATCTGCAAAATAAGGAAAACAGAATTAATTTTCCAATTGCAACAACTCTCGAAATTTCTGTCTTTCTTCATTTTAGCATAGATTTAGAAGAAGTACTGAGCTTTTTGATAAAGGTATTGGAAGTATTACTAGTACGTGGAGCTGCAAAAGTGAACTGATCCCACGTTGGTGGTAATATGATGTTAATCCAACATGCCGGTTTAGTCTTAGTGTTATTCAACCGAATGAGATGTGTAAAAGCCCAGTACATCCAGGTCCATGCATATTAAGCACAGGGCTTCCAGCTATATTTTATATCAATGTACCTTTTTGATTCTAAACACGCCATATCTAACAAGTACAAATTAACACACCACGATTTTTAACTTTTTTCACCGTTAATGTTAGTAAAAACTCCCAATTAAACGATTTCAACATAGTTATTGTACTGGTCGCTGGAAGCCCTGTAAGCAAAAAAGCTAAGCGTTACTGTTAGCACTAGAACTCACCGCATTCAAAAGGCCAGCTGTGGTAGGAGGTACAACGTGTAGAGGTGTGTAAACATCTTCATTTTCTTGGCGGACATACAACATAACCCTTTCATTTAATGGTGGAGGTCCAGCACTTCCCGGTCCCCCACTTATCAACTTAGCCCTTTTTAAAGGTGGTGAAAATACACTACCGTCAGCTGACAAGCTACCATCTAATATACTAGCATCTTTCTTGTCCGCATCTGGAGGAAAGTGGTTATGAAATTTTAAAGTCGGTGTTGTAGGAGGTTTTGAAGCTGTGTGGAGTAAGAAAGGAGATGTTTTTACATGATCCACAGGTCCACTCAATGATCCATCCTCATGAGAGTAGAAGCCCTGGAGTTCCATGGAAGTCAACTGTGGGAAAAACTACAATAAGTAATCACCGTTAATTTTTCTCATTACGCTCAACTTACTTTGTCGATATCCTCTGCTGGAGAGAACAGTACGGGAGGTTTGGTTATGTCGCTCATTGTATAGAATTCCGATCGTTCACACATGGGGTGGTATAACTCATCTAATTTTTTTCTACCAGTCGCAGTCATCTTGCGTTTGGCAGCTCGTCGTTCCTCGTCCCTTGTTTTCCGCTCAGCTCCCTTCAAAAATATAATTTTTTAACAAAAAATGGAAATCAAACCACTGATTAATAAACTAGGTCTGGCTTAAATTAACTTTATCTTTCAACAGTAGCAATTTACCTTATCACAAAACACCTTGATTTGGCAGTAACCCCTGTGAAACACATTGGTATCCCTAGGATCTTCATAAGTGTCTATTTGCAAATGTAGTGGTAAACCTTTAACGCCTTTTTGACTGCTAAAGTCTGTACTCAAACACTGGACAGCTATATTAATCTGAAAAGAAAATATTTTGTTCAAAAGTTAAGTGAAACTATAGGCAACATACTTTTGCAGGGCTTTCCATTGGATTCCAGTAGATAGCTATGGCATTGTGGGCTACTTCTTCTATACATCCAACTAGACCCACACTGTTTTTCGTATCTGTAATAAAAAAAATACATAGCTATATTATTTTCCAGTTTGAGACATAACTAAAATGAAACAATATGCTTAGTTTTATACAACTTTGTAATTGGCTCTTGCAGTTTTACTTTACATGTAAAATGTTAAGCTAATTCAAATTTATCCTAAAAAATTTTTCTAATCTCGTCAAATGAAGTTATACAGAGTGAACAATGTGAACAAATATTTTAAACAGCGGTACAGTTTACTGTGTAGAACATGTTTTTCTGCGAATAAATTGGAGATAAAAAACTCAAACTTAAAATAATATGCATGATTTTTTAGAAACTAAAACTTGTTGAGAACCGCCGTCTTCACTGCGAAATTTACGCGTAGGGTGATGCAGTGTTGCCGGTGTTGTACAGAACTCTTAAATTCTTTGTATAAAACAAATAGAACAAAGTTTAATAACTGGCCATTTCTATCCGACAGTACTTTGTGTTATTCACATCCAGTTTATAAGCACATTGTTCACATGTTTTTCGAGATGAGCGTTGCAGTTTGCAGTAAATAGGTCACAACTTGGAAAATCATGTTACTAGTGATAAAGTGTTTTATTATATTAAAAGCTTATTTGTACAAAATCAAAATACGTCTTTCTCTCTTCAAATTTAATGAGTTATTTGTGTGCAACCTATTCTTTAAATTAGTTTGCAATGTTAGAGGTTATGTCTTTACTATGAAAATTAGAGAGAATTGACTTCTACCGTATACATGTGGATGAGAAAACATTCTATGTGGACAGTGGTTCTCAAAATGTACCTGTGTATGGATAGATTTACAAAAAAGAATATCTCTGTAATATTTGTAATTTAAAAAAATCGCGAATTATATAGGTACATAAGATTAAGATCGATCCTGTATAGGTAACCTCATTTGATGAGATTATAAGAAAAGTTTTAGGATTAATAATTAGAAATAGTTCTTTACTTGTAAAGTAAAAATGTGGAAAGTACTTTAAGAGTAGGTACCTATATTTAATATTGCATAAATATGAATTGTTCCAGTTTAGTATAAATATGAAATAAATTGCGGCAAAGACGAAACACAGTAGGTATATATACAATCGAGCAATCATTTTGCAAAAAGACTGTGGGCGTTAATTTTAGAAGCCGATTTTGGTTAGGGACAAAGGGCCTAACAAAATAACACACACACCACATATAGCAAGCTATTAACACCAAACTTACCGAGCCAAATTCGTTGTTTTCTAGAGGCATGAAACGTAAAAAATTAAATTTTTAAACATTTGATAAAGAATAGTGATTACTAGCTACAAAAGATTATTTAGAAAATGCACGGTTTTGTTGTAGGTATATATATTAGCAATAAATATCGTTAGGTATATTATTTTTAGATTTTACATATCAGTTTCACTGAGTAGCGTGAGTTATAAATTCAGAAAATGAATAATGTCATTATTTACCACCCCACACAACTGAAGAACAAAATAATAGTATCAATACAACCTACACTGAAACCCACATAGCATACATATCTGAAAATGTTAAAAGTACCCACATTTATGTTACAGTTCTATATTGCTGCTAATATGAAACCTACTATTATTAGAATAAACAATTACATATGATAAATAATGTAGAACATATGTAAACATCTAATGAATAGCGAGTAAAAAAATGACGTTAATCTATTTTATTTCAATGAGTGTAAACTCGATACATGTATAAATGTTTATCTCTGTTCGTGCATAAAATATGACGAACAAATGTTGAATAGGTAAATGAAAAAATATAGAACTATACGTACAAAACACATTTTATCGCCAAATAAATATCCCATTCATTTAAATATAAATTGTTAATACGGTGTTTGGTAAAGGTCAAATGGACACCTACGTACAAAGATGAATATTTTCAACATAAATCTCGAAACGAGCTGCCTTCTCTCGCTTCCAATCCGACTTTTATCGCCGTATTTTTCTGAGCGCTATTTATCACTATCAGTGATTGGCAAGCCCGATAAAATCAGGCTGAAAATCTATACGTATTTTCCGGTACAAAGTTCTTGTACCCACGATTTGTGCCCTACTCGTACAACACGTCAAAAAAAAATTGTCACAAAATTCACTAATATTAATTCTATTCGGATATAACAACCTGATTGGAGATTTAGATTGAAAATTAATTCAAAATATGTTCAGGTGGGCGATTTAAAATAAATACATATTAATTAAGCCATGTATATGAATATCAAATTACTGCCATGATAAATATGTATGCGTTAAATCTGACAATATAAAACTCTAAATTAATTACGAAATATGATTGGGCATATATTGTATTCAAATCGATGTTTCGAAATCCGCATAAGTAGGATACACGGGCAACGTTTTTCCGAAAAATTGCGGTTGCCCAGATTTTTTCCAATAGATACCAACTTTTAATAAAATTTGTATCTAATGGATTAATAGAAATAGAAATGGTATAATTTTTATATCATACTGACCTGCGTCTAGGATTCTCTGTTTGACAGAATGTTGCCTTCCGTGCCAAAATTGCCAAGCTTTGATTTCATCTTCTGGACTTTTTTCTTCTCTAAACATCAACATAACAATGCTCTGAAAAAAAATTAATTAATCAAATGATGAGTTAAATAAAGTAGGTACTGTATATGTGAGTTACAAGCAAATATTTTATTAAATTTTTAAGTGACAGGGGTTGTTTTGACTACATATACATAAATATTTGATTTATAAAGTTTACAGGTTGAAAACTATTAAAGTGTGGCATGCAGTAAAGAAATAGCTATGTAGTTAAGAATCGACAATCTGATTCTTTTAATGCGTGCGAATAACTGATAACTAGAATAAGGGTCATTTGATTAAACTCAAGGTTGCTTTTAATGAAATAATTTACACGATTTACGCAAAGAAATCATTATACTGATTTTAATAAGTTATATGCAATGGGACAATTATATCTATTCGCTTTAATTGCATCGTTTTTAATCGATTTTATGTTGACATCAGCTTTTTTTTCTCGTAATCTTGTTATATATTCACCGGGTTGATTCATCCAGAGGAAAATAATTGCGAACTGAAACATTCCTTGGCAGCACCGAGATTTATAACGTGCTTAGGCCTAATAATTAGGTTTACTTTAATTTCGAATTAAGATCCTTATCAATATTAACCCAAATGGCCACGTACAAGGCTATGCACTTTGCTTATTATGTCGTTTATATGTAAATCTAGCCGATATTATAAGACTGACATTGGCTCTTAAGTGCTATCACAAAATGTCAATTTCAATAATTTTTAACGTTAATTGCGCCGACCAAGGGCTTCTACAGGAGGCAGTACAACAGTGGACCTTGAAGCTCGAAAACAATAATTTCGGTCAGTAACTTTATTCTCAATAAATTTTTATTTCACTGGATAGTATAAAAACACAAAAACTGCTACAAATTTATATGGACGTACCTAATTAGTTTTTAATATACAGTAAGTACGTCATTATTGTGCTATCGTGTATTAATGATTAGTTTTGTATATTACCCGTAATTATTTATTTGTGCACTTTTCTATTTACTTTGTTAAGCAAATTAAAAATCAACCCCTTTATTGAGTCTTTTGGTGCAAAGGGTCATGTTTTTTCTTCTCGCTGTGGCAGAAATACCCAATTAAATAAAAAAATTACTTTCATTACACTGAGAAAACATACATATATGTTGTTCGTTAATAGTATACTACAATTATTAAGTTTTATTGCTTTAAATTTTAAATTAAATGTGTTATAATCTAATGTTAATTTTGGAAAAAAGTTTTAATGGATGACATTGTCAAATGTAAAATATTTTACATGCACGGAATAATTTAAAGAATGAGGTTAAACGACGACGTTCTCGTTAAAAAATAAATACTGTTTGAAGTAAATAAAATTGTGTACACATCTTTGTTAAGTCGTCGGCAGGTTGCAATAAATGTTATTATATTCAATTAAAAGGTATAAACTTTCGTATTAATTGATGTAATTACGTGTAATTCTGTTGACCAGCCTTAACGACCAAGTAGGTACGCAATTGTAAATTGTTTTATTAGAATTACCACATTTGTCATACGATAGAAGACAGTGATCATTACTCCATGTCCATATCGGGCATCGAATGTCACCGTGCTGGTTTTTTGGTCAATTCTCTCGCAGTAATTGGCTTATGAACCATGTGAAATGTTTTATATTGCTGATTCCTCATAATTTTATAAATAAACGCCATCTCCTCCATACAGATGAGCGGAGCGAAAAAAGAATCGACAAACGATTTATATTTTATACCTAATTAATTTCTAATGGAAAGAATTCTGCTTCCTTATTTAGTTCTAAATCGCGGGGCATTGCCTGCAAAAATTCTTAAGAATTTTGCATTACTCCATTTGCAACTATGCCGTGTACAAGGCAAACAAAATACAGTGGAAACTAAAATTCCTCCAAAATAATTTTTGTAAAGTTTCTAAAGATTAAAAATTTCATATACAGAGTGTTTCGTTCAAATCTCCCCCTGATACCACTAATACATAACTTCAATTCTGGGTATAAATGGTATTTGTCAGCATTTATTTTTTTAAATATGTTATTAAATATATATTGTAAAATAACGTCGCACATCGTCGATTATTACAGTTTTTCGATCGTCCTTTGAATTTTTCACTTAAATTTCGAGATATTTTGTGTGTATTTCCAGAACATGATGACGTTTATATGTTTAAGCTTAATTGTATTTAAAAACAATTAATAATATTTGTTAACTCGAAACTTTCAAGAATAATTTGTTAACTATTTAATTTATTTTTATCACTTAATAATTTATTGCTTTAACTTCGAGAACTTAATGTTTACTTCTGCTGATTTATTTTATTGCGCTTGAATTTTATTATTGCTGTTCTCATCGCCAAGCAACTGACGAATATTAATAATAATTTCTTAGATTTAAATATATTGCACTGAAATACAATTTATTTTCCTAATTAATGAACGTTAATTTATACAGGGTGTAACAAAAATGTTAGGTAATCTCTCTGGAGTCTGAAGGTGATGTAATGAAATATGCGAAATAGTGTATGTTTCCGGAGTAAAAAGAAAACTGTATATAAATTCCCACAGCAAAATAAATTCGTTTTAGAAACCGATTTATCAAGTGACAAAATACTTTAAAGCACCTTAATTATTTACAGTTGCAATTTAAGTGCTTTAGGTGTATGTTAATAGTAGTATACATAAATCAATTAATATTCTTTGACACCAATTTAGGTGGTAACAAGTTAGGTTATTACAAATATCATATTCAAATGGAATGTATCAGTTGAATTTCCATAGATAGTCCCAGCGAACATTTGAATATGGAATAAACACGATTTATTTTACACCTTATACAATTACAAGCGGTCGTTCCGAGTGTTTAATAAATTTTAAAGTGATTACTTCTATTAATTACAGTAAAACTTGTCCCCGGGCGATGGGACGGAATTGCTTAAATATTCAAATTCAGCTAAATAATATTTACAGTTAATTTAATGAACGTCACTTACTGAACATCCGCAATATAATAATAAAATTTATTTCAACCAGCCTGGCACACCTCGTTACCTATTCTCCCATCTTAAAAACTGATTATTTATTTCCTCTTTTAGCCGTACTCCTCGCCCACAGAGTAGATGTTAACGTTGATCTCGAAATGTTCACTTCTTATAACTTCTACATACTTAAGATTTAATAAGGTTGTTCATTACACATGAAAAATTCATTTTATGACATTTTTATGGAAAAAGCTTGAAAAAACGCAACGCAACGCCACTGCCTTCGACATATGTAACGGGTACAGATTTGACATAACCAGTTATCTATGCACATTTAGTTTGTGTATGATATGTCTTTAAAAAGTGCGTGAATGTTTTTTTTAACAGTATATTAACTAGATCAGGTTGTACTTATTTAATTGTTTAACATACAGTACCTGGTTAACCTTTACGAGCATTGTTAGCTTAGTTTTGGCACATAAACAAACTCTACTGGCACTACAAAGTTCTTAAAGCGTTATCTATCTACTTACTTTTACAGTCTGGGATTTGAGTTGTTTGTCAGGGTCTGGTATATATTCTAACGTGATTCCATAAAATTGTCCTTTGTTTATGTACGTAATCCTGTCATCCTCCCGTCTTTGAGACGTGGATATAGGCGTCTCAAGGTGATATTTGAAGCCGACAGGGGAAAATCTGCAACAAAATGGGATGATTGTAATATATTTAAATTTAAAAGCAAATATCAATTTACACCGAGAAAACATGATTATTGAAATGTATCAATTGGTATGGTAGTAGGTATTTGTAAAGTATTTTGTTTGTAAGTTTAAATACAAACATCATAATGTGATCATTGAAAGTATCATTTGATGTAGCAAGGGTGTTTAGTTAGTACGGAGTAACTAAGGTCGCAATTGTTTGCACACTGCAAGAATTAATTTTTTAATGAATAATATAGCTGTTCGGCAATGATAAAGAAAACGTAGTGTTTATTAAATGTCTAAATTCCTAAGTTTAACTATCCAGTACTTTAAACGTTTATTAAATATAGTCACGATTGGTTTTATAGAAAGAAAATTTATATATCTCTGAAGATGCTGGATGAAGATTGATGAAACTTGGGCTACCGGCTTATCAAATTAAAGATAAAAATTCGTTAAATTCGTGTATACAATGCAATGTTAGGGATACGAAGAGTCTGGATATTTTAGATTTTCGATCACTGCTTTTAACACATATCTAAGATTAATCGAAGTGTTTGATAAAGGTTGTAATTTAAAAGAGTAATAAATCGATAATGATTCGTTTTTCTAGTAACATGAAAGAGATCTTTTTTCTTTGGCGCAACACCAGGGATTGTTAATGATAGTGATTTCCTGCATCTTTATCTTTAATATCTATACGTTAAGCGCCATGTACTTAGTTTGGGATTTTTTTGTTAATAATTTGATCAACCAAATGTAAACTTAAGTTCGGCCAATTATTCCTGAAACACCTTGTCATAGTCAACTATAAATTTAATTTTGAACCGTACAAAATTCCATTTTTTTTTTCGTGAGTTGCGACTTTTTAGTAGTTGAGTTGATATTCGATGATTTGGAGAATCGCACTGAAATCAATGGGTAGGCACAGGTTTTGGCGTCCTTATAAATGAGTTTTGTCGGTTTATTTACAAATAGTAAAATTTTGCATTTGAGAAAACGTTATCTGCTTGGCCTGAGCTATAAAGGAACTTGTCTCGAGCTTACTGCCAGTCAGGTAGTGCGCACCCGTTGACCGATGACCCACGGGCACGAATTTATAAAAAGGTAATTGCACATGACACATAACGAAATTCAGAGTGTGAAAAAGCGGCATAAGGCACAATACACGGCGTAGTGAATCATCTAAACTTGTTAAACAGGCTCTTTCTGATAATATTACAACTGTAGTAGCATGACATAAGGTACTTGTATCAAGTGACACTCAAATCGGGTTTGTCCAGTTCACGGCGCTGGACTATATTGCCATTGCGAGGTCACGAGTAATTCAAAATCCGTTGTTTCCTGTTCTACGCATAACCAGTGGTGGAATTTAGGCTATTTCCTAGAAGTGCCATACGAGTTCTCACGTAGAGTGAAGGGGCTTAGATCATGACACCACCGAGTTTCTTTTGACTAGCGTCCGTTTATAAAATTATTTTCACACGTCCCCCTGCGGTTTTTTTACTCTACTAGCCCCTCTAGTCGAAACGAAAAAGGAACATACACTGAGAAACCCGTACATTACACAACTTACATTTTGGGGATTTGTATCTTGTCCGCGTCATTCTGACGGCCGAAATCGTGCCAAGGTCGACTCCGGCTGGTGGGCTGGCTTCCGGGACTTTGGGAACTGCTGTTGCTCCTCTGCGGAAGGGACAGCGGATCCAGAAGGGTGTTGGTTTGACACAGTTCGGTGTAGTCGAAGGACTGAAAAAGAAAATCGACAGTTCGTGAATTGACGGCCGGCACAATGCAGTGATGCGAATGACACGCGACGCACACCAAAGAAACACAGAATGTTCGTCGATGAAGGAGGATACGAACATTTTTTCTTAGGTCCGTTTCATTTCCCTTGTATTATTTTTGTGATGATGGTTGCAAATAAAAAACAATTTCGGAAATAGTAGGTACTAATCCGTGATATTTTTCTTCCCGTTCAGTTCAGTTGGAACACTGAGGAATCAGGCTCAAAGCAGAGCATTATGAAATAAAAAAAATCATGTGCAATGTCCTAATACATACGGGGTGTTCCAAAAGTTTAACCACGTATTAGCTCTTCAAAATCAATAGCTTTGTCTAATAAACTTTTGCGAAAGCTCATATTAATTTTTTGTTAACTAAATAGTAAATAGTAGCGTTAATTAGTTCCTAACTTAAAAATTACTTGGTTTTCGAAAAAAAAAGATTAGATTGATGATTACAATTTTGGAACTTATTTTTGGGACATAAACGTCGTTTATGATGGAAATTGTGCGTTAAATCAATTTATATTTTATACCACCTTATACCACACATATACAGAGTGTTTCTGAAATAAGTACGTTCCTTGAAAAGGGTGATAGAGGACTTGAAAATGAGCAAATTTTATTAAACAGCTGATGGTCTAACTGCTTCTGTTTTCGAGAAAATTTATTTAGAAAATTAACCATAAATGTAAGCCGACCCTGTGCATCTTGTGCACGTGCGTTGTGTGTTGCAGTATTACTTAGCCTGTGTATAAAATGTTTTCTGATCGATCAAGAACTTTTAACGATTTTTGTAGAGGATATAAATATTGGTAATTAATTCGTGTATTCGTTTAATTTTTGTGTTATTTTTACACCAGATTTAAATAAATTTCAGCATTTTCGAACACAAAATTTAAACCGCCAAAACCGCCATTTTTTCTATTTAAAACGTAACGTTTTAGACCATCAGTTGTTTATTTTCGTGCTCTCTTTCCCCCCTTTTCAAGGAACGCACTTGGACATCTGCTTAAAATAAAATTTCAAATTGAAAAAAAGAAAATTGCTAGTTTAAAACAACTAATTCCTTCTTCAAAAATATAAAAAAAACAATATTTTTGAGGAACGAATATTTTCATTGCGTTGAAGAAAACTACCCCATTACTTACGGCGTTGCGTCCTGGGAGCATTCGCGGGAGTGATTGTGCAAATTGTTTCGGTGTAAAGTGATAGGTGTTTCTTTGGTTTGCGTTGAGGCTATGAGTTATGGGCTATAAAGCGGTCAAATATAATAACGTCGTTGTCAGCATTATATAGCCCATAAATGCAAGCTGCAAATCAATCAGTTCGGATCGGTCGTGCTTCGCGCCTTCTGCATTGGAACATGGAGGAGATATGTGGGGGTAGGTCTAGGGCTCACCTGCTGCAGCGTATTCTGGTCGCGTGGCGTGATGGCGTCGGCGCCGATGCCGCTGTCGGGGCTAGGGAGGTCGACGGTGAGGCCGGCCGCCGTGGCGGCGGCGATGACGCCCTTGCCGTGATACGACTGGCGCACGTACCGCTCGACGAAGCTGGCCGTTGCGCCGCCGCTGGCCTCCTCGTAGCCCAGCTGGCTCTGGCGCAGCTGGCCGGTGTACACCGGCTCCGGCGTGCCACCCCCAGAGGCCACGGTGGTGAAGTACTCGCGGTAGTAGGGGTCTGCCACCGAGAATGCTGTCGAGCTGCTGGGCCGGCCCGTGGAAGAGTATACGGCCGAGTTGCCGACGCCGCCCCCCATCGAGCTCTGGGTGTACTGTACGTGGTCCGAGTAGGGTATGGGGGACGGCGTACCGCTGCCGCTGTGGGGTGCGTTGCTCATGGAGGCGAATATCTGCGTGGTGTACATCGCTGGTTTGAGGCCATCCGCAGAGATGAATTCGATGGGACCCGTGTTCGAGCCGTCCGCCAGGAGGCTGCTGTGCGTTGACGTGGGGGTTCCGTTTATCGAACGAGAGCCGTGCTGCGGGGAGTGGAGACCGCGGTGGCTCTCGTCCTTGATCGAGTTGACGTCCACCACCAAGTCTCCGGGTTGGCTGGACACCAGCACGACCTACAACCACCAATACCTCAGTGAACTTATAGTTTCAATTTTAAAAACGAGCCGATCGTTCCCTCCAATGTACCTCACGAGACAGTGACACAAGGAAACGCTTTCCATCCGACAGTTCTTATTCTTTCTTCTTATTGAACTGATTCTATTATTTTGCAAAGCCTACATTTTTCTCCAGGAAGTTTTAACAGCCCAGAAAAATTATATTTTGAATTTTACTGACTCAAAGTTTAAAAATTCAAGGCGTATGGCCTTAATTGCAGCAACTAATATATCTGTTAATTGTCATATTAGCCGTGTTTTGTTTACCTGAGACCACAGCCAATGTTATTCTGAAAGCTGATTTGTCAAAGGCGTATCTTCCAATTTTTTAACTGCATAACAAAATGAAAATATGTTAAAAAAATATGAGACCAGTATCTTTTCTTTTTTATTGTGACCTCATTTAACTCTAAAATAGCCAATAGCATTTGACAAATAAAATTAAAAATTGAAAAGAGCATATAAAAATATTGGTTAGAAATTCTGCTTTATAAAATTAAAAAAGTTATTCTGGCAAATATCTTGAGACTCGTAAAATGTTCATTAAGTTTCTAACTATAGAAATTTTCAAATACATAATATGATTTTAATTGGTATTTTAGTTGTCCCATTTGCTTTCAATTATCGAAGATACCGTAGCGACGTATAACGGAGAACGCGGAACTATTGGCTTTATAGGATCCTACAAACATTTAGTGATTTAGTAATACACGTAAAATAAAATTTTAAATTGAAATAAAAAAAAATCCCCGATTTAAATTAAACAACATTTAAAAATACGTATTTTAAAAAATTTAAATTCCTATTTTCTTTGCGGATGAAGGCAAAGCCAATTTATTAGATGAAATTGGTTGAGATTTCAAGTAAATAAAACAGTGCTACTGTTAAGTGTAAAGTTTGGTGTCTTTAATTTTATTTCTCATATTTGAAACACATATTTGATTAGTCTTTCCGATATCAATTGAAGAACCAACAGATTGACAGTATGTACCAGGTTCGGTCGCTGACGTAGCAACTCGCCATTGAAATATATGAAAAATTTGTTCCCATATTTATTTAGCTATACCCATATACAGGTCTGGTCGAACTAAACGTGGAGGTGGTAGAAATGTATACGCCAAGTTGAAGAATGCGAGCGCGGGCAAAGGAAAACAAACACAGTTGCATTGGGCTACTGGGCAATAAATCTCAGCAGTTGACAAGTGGTCGATAAAATTGCCCAGCGGTGCAGTGCAGCAATGCGGAATTTGGTGTGATTCAAGTAATTTTAATTTATTATAGGCGCCTTCTATCAATCATTCATATTACAATTGCGAAAGGGAGAAATAAGAGGGATATTTTGTTTACTAATATTATCACAACATGGCATTTTGGAGACCTTTTGAAACGGAACAAAACTAAATTTACCACCAATTTGAGGATATAAATAATTAAAATATGTTGTTGGCCAAATGAACATATAATAGAAATTTTCTACACATCATATACAAATTATTATAATTTTTGTCCCTTTAACAGAAAACTTTTTTAGGGACGCCTATGAAACTCATTAAATTTTATTGCCAGGCGTTTTTTGCATGTTCAACTGACTTCGGAAAGACTATACTAATGCGTTAATTTTATAGAATGAAAATTGTGATTATTAAAGTTAATATGGACACCCATCTGACAACTAAGTATCCAAATTGTGTCAGCAGCATTTTTTGAAAAAAATATAATTTCGGAACCACATAAAAAATAATTTATGATTAACGAACATCACCATTTGTACATTGAATAATAAGGTCGTTTTTTATAATTGCTTTTTGTGGCAAAAATAAGGGTAGGAAATTATGTGACGAAGTAGGTACCTAATTTGTATATTAGAACCATTTTTCTAGCAATTGTAGACAAATATGCAGTCGATTCTATAATTCGTTAGACATAAACATGTCTAGCTTAAGATTCGTCAATAAAGTTTACTTGCTATTGAAGCTAGTGCATTGTAGATTTACACTTAAGCGACTAGCCGCTACTACCGGCCGTTATTGACACTGCCAACACAATACACACAATAAGACTTATAAAATTGCCAATGCGAATTCTGAAGAAGTATTATTTCATTATGGAAATCTTAGAAACTGTCATTTTTTTATAATTTCGTAACCATAAATAAGTAATAGAAATTTTACATTTTCGTGTGTTATATGCATCCCGCCTTGATACTGTTAGAATTTCACTAAACTTTCTAGATTTTGATTAATGACAGTCAACTTTTTTTTCTTTCGTATGGATACTGAAAATATTCATATGTCGTAGATTTTTTATTATCTTTACAGAGGTGTGTCAGTTTGGAGACACATTTAAAAGATTGACGAAAAGCATAATCTACCAATTTATGAAAATTACGAGAAAACTAAAGATAATAATCATTCAAAACCAACTTTTTTTTTATTTAACAAATTTTGCACATCTTTCTGATATTTTCATTTAACATCCTCTATAAAACATATATTTTACGCTTACGCATATAGCCCTGTCTTATATCTTGATTTTATATTCAATTTAATCATGTTTTTATGCCTTGCAGTTCGAAAAGTATTCTATTTAACTGTAAAAAAAGACACGCCGAATTTTGAAAGCTTACATTCTTTATGGATTTGGCACTGTCTGGAGAAGTACGTTGTAATAGAAATCAGCTCGTTTTTCTCGATGGTTCCAGATCAAACTAAATACACTGAGGTATAAGGTATGTTAGCTGCATGCTAGCTGCTCTAGGTGGGCCCTAGATCTAACCCTACTGTTAACTAAAATCTCTAATACTACCATCATATTGCCATGCACTAGATACTACAGAAGAAACAGCTAAAAATACACAAGGTGGTTGAACTAAGTCCCATACAGTGTGATTGGAAACGTGGATACCGAAAATATTTCAAGGAAGTCGCAAAATTGTATACAGGATGTTCATACGTAACACATCATTTACGAACAGTGACCAGAATTTGCCGTACGTTTGAGTTTCAGCGGCAAAAAAAATTGAGACACACAGATCAAGTACAGGGTGTCTGTTTGTTAACAATTGCATTTTTCTGGAAATTCTGGTCATCTTTTCATAAAATAATATCTAAATAAATTTTCGTGATGGATATGACAAAGGTTCAATGTTTGTCTATAATGTGTACCTATACGACATATACAGGATGTTGCGGATGAGCTACACGGAATATACTGGAACAATTTTAATTAAAGCTTGTAAATTTTCAAAATCAATGGATTTCATTTTCATTTTGAATTCTAGGTAACTATATTCTCAGTTTAGTTTAATAGACACAATTTTTACTGAAACCCAAATTAAGTTTCTGTATTGTCAAAAAAAAAAAAAAACGGTCACTATCTGGTAAGCCATTGATTTAAGTTGAAGAGAAGTGTGAAATTTGTCTCTGTTTCAGGTCAAAGGTACTCATAGAGCATACTTAACGATTTTTCTAAGGTACTGACAAGGCCTGGAAATGGCGGAACGCAACATCCCGCACCCCCACTAAAGAATGCCCCAGTAAAAATATCATTCCAAAGAGGGGTTCGCGAAATCACAACTACACACACTGAAATAAGCACGTGTCACCAAACAAATCAACCATAAAAACCGATCAATCACTACTTGAACACCACCACACTATGAAATCACCTTTGCTCGTGACTGCTTGGGGATGATGATGGACCCGTCGAGGCTCCCTGAACTCGGCGAGCTACAGTCCAACTTGCGGTGGTGGCTCAGGTCCTCGGGCTCGCGTTTGACAATCTGCAGATTCTGGCCGCTAGCCGCGGGCTGCGCATACCCATGTTGGTTAATAAATAAGCCTTGCAAGTCTTGCGAACTCAGTTGACCGGCACTGCTCAGGGGCGGGGTCGGGAGCTCTAGCGCCGCCCCACTCACCAATCCATTGGTCGCCTTCAGTTGGGACGTTAGGATGCCGCCGGCCTGGGAACTTGCCCTGTAACAAACATATTACGTCATGTGTTGAATTGTGGTGGGGGGGAGCGCGCATGAACGGACGGCGATGTTTTGGTTTGGGTCTTGGTCTTGGGATATTCAATGCTCGCCGTGTGTACTAGCGCAATCAGAAGTAGTGTCAGCGGAGCATACGTCCCGGGCGTTATTATTTTCGGAAGGCGCAATACCGTTAGGACATTAAAACGTGTACTTCAGTTAACCCAAAGATAGAACTATAGAACTATATATTATACAAATAGAATTATCATAGTTCTTAGGCTTCCGCGGGTGTTGTATGCGATTGTAAAATTTCTCCGGGTTCCTTTCCCCGTTGAATCTGTATGGTCCTCAAAAGAACCATTTGTTTGACGACGTTTCGGTAAAATCTCATTCACCATCTTCAGAAGCAGAAGTAAAAAGACCTGAAGATGGTAAATGAGATTTTTCCAAAACGTCGTCAAACAAATGGTTCTTTTGAAGACCATGCGGAAAGAAATCCGGAGAAATTTTATAAATCTATATATATATACATATATCACAATAATTTAAGAAGAGTATGAATAACAATAAATGTATAAAAAAGGATTAAAACATACAAAAACTGCCCTTTTCTTCACTGGAACAAGATAAATGTACTCTTTCTAAATTGATTTTCCATTTTGCTGCTAAAATAACTACAAAATTAGTTTTAAAGCTGCTGTACTTCGGAAATAAAACATTTTCGAAATTATATTGATAGGATCAAGTTTTTATTTATTTCTTTAACGCTCTGTGTACACAGCATGTTAGAAAATGTAAGAATATATCGTCATCTCTTTTTTTTTAGTAATATTTCTACATTACTTAAACTTCGCAGTTTTGCATTTTCTGGAAGAACAAGGTAAATTAATAAAAGGTACTCTTTATCTCTTTTCGATGGGACGCGCTGTTTACAGGAAAATTAAAAATTAAAACATTTTTATTTAATGAAACGTACCCCAGAAACACACAATAAGCTAAATTGCATTACATTAGACAGTTAAAAATGTAAAAAAAGGAATTTAATTATTTTTAGATCGTTTAAAATATATCTGTTATAAAAAATACATTTAATATTTCTCTAAATAAACTTATTATAGTTTAAAATTCGACATAATCGAAAAAATGATTATAATAATTCAACAAATACAAATTGTTAAATTAATATAACCTGAAGTAAATTATGATTGAAGAAAATAACGCATATATACATCTGAGGACTAAAATACCGTTTTAGAATTCTTCTAAATTTCTTTTAAATTCGTTTATAAAAGTGTAACAAACCGTTTTCACTACTAAAAATTTTAACACCCTTTCGAAAATTGATCCATTTAAGACTCTCTAATACAAAATCCATTATTGTCATTTCAGAAGTTGAGTCGCCCTGTGTACAGGATGTTGCGCTTAAATGTGATACAAGCCTGTAGCTTCTTTATTTTTTGAGCGATTTAAAAAAAAAATTGAGAATGTAGGATAAAAAAACTAACTGTAATGCTGCTGTTTTTATTAACGCAATTCACAGCCAACTAGAACGCTTTTTTTTAAACAGATTACGTATTCTCATTCAGCATCCCTTAAAATGTCATCACCAAGTTTCATGAAATTCGATACATCTTCAGACGAGCACTAGTTGGCTGTGTATTGCATTAGTAAAACAGCAGTATCACAGTTAGATAGAGTTTTTTTTTACTCTACATTCCAAAATAAAAATTTTTGATATCGGACAAAAAATAAAAAAGATACAGGCTTGTATTACACTTCGTGACATCTGGTGTGCTCGTCTGAAGAAGTATCGAATTTGATGAAACTTGGTGGTAAGACGTTTTAAGGGATGCTGAATGAAAATACGTAATTGGAAAAAAAATTGCTAATACCAATCAACTGTTTCAATGCCAATAAAACACGTCCTAGTTGGCCGTGAATTACATTAATAAAAACAGCAGTATCACAGTTAGATTTTACCCTACATTCCCAAATAAAAATTTTTGAAATCGGCCAAAAAATAAAGAAGTAACAGGGTTGTATCATATTTAAGCGCGACACCCTGTATATGTATACGTACTTATACCTATACACAGAGTAATGGAAACAAAAACTTGAAAATGTATAACCATTAAAGAGGCAAGAAACTTATATCAACACAATTCCGTTTCATTTAATGAATTTAAAATGAAATCAGCCCATATGAATTTCGTAGATAATATCACAATTTCGATATGTTCGGGGACATTTTTCAATTATCATCGGTTTGAGCTCGAAATTTTATTCAAATCAGGTAATGATTTTCAATCTTCCAAAATTTTAACGCCCTTTCGAAAGCGGAAACACTTGACACAAAAATTTATAGAACGAAATACACTTATTTTACAATAAGGAACCCATTCTTGAAATTACAGAATTTAAGGTGGAATCGCCCTGTATATATGAATATGTATAAAGGGTGTCCTGGAAATGGCCACTAATATCTCGGATTTGGACAAGACTTGCAAGAATATACCCTTTTCACTTAAAAAAGTAAGAAAGTTTAAAAAAACGGTGAAAAACGGAGGTTTGTCAATTTTTTGGGGGCTTGCCCCCAGGCCCTCAAAGCAGCTATCTATAAATCGGAATAGATTAGTAGAAACATTTCCAAATAACAGCTTTTACTCAAAAATTATTTAAATTTAATGAGAAACAAAAGAGTTACAAAGAAAAATCTTAACTTTAAGCGCTAATAATTCTACAGGGTGAGTCCGTTTTAAAAAATAATGATATAAACTTGCTAAGTTGTTTTGCAAGTGAAATAGCCCCTAAATTGTTATATAAAATAGAACACATATTTTTTTACAAATTTCGTAATGTCACAATTTCATACTGACCGGTGGAAGCTTTCACGGGTACCCTACATGTAAGTAACTCGCCAGCAGATAATACGGAATTCGGTGTGTGCAAATCGGGTAAGTGCGTTTCTGCGTTTGTCCACGCAATGTCGCAATAACCGCCTCGTTCAGCTGTTTGGCGTGCTAAGTGGTAGAAGCGGCTTCTTGATTTTATCTGGCGTTAGAATCTGGCATAGACTGAACCAGTCGGCGCTAATCGTGATCACAGCGACCTGCACCAGGTCACCTTCACAATGCCGCGTCCACGCGCCGATCCGCACGAACACGTGAGGACCTAATACTAGTCCTAGTACTGCATTCTGTAATGTACCGGGTGACCAGCGAAACGCCAGCGAATTCGCCCAGGCCAGACCGCTTATAAATAACCCTACAAGCTTGAACGGCGTGCGGGACATCTTTTACTTAAGGTTCGCGTATTCTAAACAAGAAAGTACCTCAGTCGTTATTAGACAAAGATAGAAAATCGTCTCCTAGGATGTGACGGTATCTAACGGAAAAACGTAAATGACAAATATTCGAAGAGTATCACAATTAGAGTAAAGTTAATAAGAATTAGCCGAAACGTCATAAAAACTCATAGGAAGGGGCTTAAAGTCTACACTGAGGGAAATATCTTTTAGCCATAAGTAGAAATTGATTAATCCTAACAAAATATTTGTTTTAAATAGACTTCAAAAAGGTTACACTGCTGTCATAAAATAAAATATATGGCTAAATCAGTTTATTAGTGGTTACAAAGTTTTTACTTAACCTTTTACTTATTGTTGCAATCACATTTTCTTATTAAGGGAGCTGTAGTACAATTTTTACCACAGGACGACGAGTTTTATGACAATATCGGCAAATATCTCTTTTTTGCTTCAAATAAGTGACTTTTTGGACACTAATAAGTGATTTTATTGCCAAAACTATGCGCACTTAGCTAGATTTAATTATGAACTTTTTTTATTAAAAACATTTTTGAAATTCTGACTCCTTGTATAAATATAATTGATTACTATTATTTGTATATATGACAAAATAATTATTAGATATGGGGTTAGGTCAGTTTTAAAAACGTGTTTTAATAGTTATAACTTTATTTGAGCAATAAATGAATAAACAGATCTTCAGCAATATTATTTTTGCTTTCAAAATTCCGGTACCTAAAAAGATAAATACGGACATTTTTTCGGAATTACGGAAGATGTTGATGAACTAATTAGATTTAAAATCGTCAGATTAAATGCATAAGTAGAGAAATTTCTTCCGATGGCAAACGGTGACTTAGAGAGGTGCAGTTCGACATGCCGCAATGTATAAGTGTCTGTCCAATCAGCTTTAAAATTACAGCCTATATGTATCGGTCGTAAAACAAACTGTTCGTATAACTAATATATGTGGAGTTTCACTTGAATAAACTTAATATTGTCGCGGTATGAATTTACGCTTTCAGTAGCAGCTTAGTTTCACATACGGGGTCTCTAAAAATGTTTCTATTTGCCGTAATGCATATTGCATCCTTAAAAAAAATACCGCTATTATCTTTTTAACTGAAATATTTGTATCAGCTTAAATCCGTCTTTGCAATAAATATATTAAAAGAAAAAGTATGTAATAATAGAATAAATATATAGGGTGATTCAGTCATAATGTCATTATTTTTAACCACGTATTCGGAAGATCTAATAAAGACATAAAATCTACAAAAAAAATTTAACGACCTTTTACAAAATAAGCAAATTACCCCTTAACTCCCGTTGACTCGGCGCCCTACTTTGCATCACATTTGCTGACTGGGAACGCGCCGGCGCACTACAGAACGTTCGAACGTTGAAGCGAAACAGCTGATTTCCTCAGTCGTCCTGCAGTTGGTTTCACAATTAAAATGCAACGGATCCCAATTTAACAAAGTTTTTAAATAGGCAGGTACCAGACTACTCGTTGAAGTCCAATAAGTCACGTAATAAGGTATACGTACTACAAACTGAATAATTAATTGAACATAATATTGAAAACTCATATTCAATTATAAAATATATTGAAAAATATTTATTCGTTGTCGTTCACTACGGATTAAAAACGCATTAAAAGCTAGTTTAATGACCGAATATTCCAGTAGGTC